TAATTATGCTATTAATAAGCAACATGCAGAATTTCATCTGAGATGTAGGAACCACAAGAGATCAGATTCTCACACAAATTCTCTCCTGTATCATAATGGCTGCAGTGTGTGTTTAAATCATGCAACGTGTTCACCTGAAACCAAAAGGGCTGTTCCCATCTGGGAATCCCAGATCTGGGCGCAGATCTGCTGCATCAACACTAATTCTGTTGCTCTGGTTATGTGCACTGCAGGTTGGGCTGAGAACACATTTCATTTTCTCTGTTTTGCAGTAATTTGTCTTGCAGTTCCAGTGTAATACAATTATCCCCTTTTTATTTTTAATTGTCGCTGTGCACCGTTAAGCAGCAACATCACGATATTTAAAAGTCACTTTGTCTTTCCATTTGGTGAAGCAACCCCATTTTAAGCGCAAAGGAAGGCTCTGAGATGTGGCTGCAACCTCGCAAAGAAACCTGTTTATGCCAAGTCCTATCAAGAACTTCTCTCATTTAGGTTAAAGGATCAAGTCCTTAACATTTGAAAATGCACAATAAACACACAACACTGCATCTTTGAGTAGGAAGGTTAATAAAAATACAGCCTGGCATTAACATTAAAAAGGCTCTAAATTTTTTCTTCACAGGTAATTAGTTCACACAATGAAATAATCTCCTTTCTTATCCTGGAAACACATGCATAAAACAGCTCAGATAACATCATTTACATACAGGCTGCTGCATCCGCATGTTAATGTCTGGCAGTGAAAAGTTCAGACAAGTTTGTAATCCCCGATTTCCTGCGCGTGCTCAGCACCCAGATTCCCAGAAGGAAGGGAAAGGGATACTAAATATTCCTGAGATGACAGCTCAGCTGCAGCCCGCCACATCTGGGCAGCTTGCACAGTTACAGAGTTTCTCAGAGCACGGGGGCTGAGAAATGTCCAGACACTCCTGGACTTTTTTTTTTTTTTTAAACTCTTCTTGGTGTTGGTTCCTTTTGTCAGTCACTTCTGGCCATGGCCATCACCCTCAGCCTATTGTGCTGCCGCCAGCGGCTTTGTCCGCCCCGCTCCATCGCGTGGTACCGGAGCAATCTGCATTCCCATTTAAAGCACTATCATGTCACCCATCAGCGAGCGCTCGCTTTCATCCCCTAAAACTCCCACACAATGGCAACCACGCCGAGAGGACAAAGGGCCGGGCAGAGGGGAAAGGGAGGGAATGAAGCCGCAGCAGCAGCTGCAGCCGGGCTAACTTTGCTCTCCCGGGGTCCTCCTGGGCGAGCTCTTGAACTTGGGCTGGGAACATCCGTGCCCTTCATCTCCTGCTTCCCCTCCCGGCGCAGCTTCTCTGCCCAGGGCACGAAGGAAGCTTGGCTGCTCCTGCATCCAGCCAACAGGTAATGAGGGTGTTTTTCCAGCTGCAGGAGAAAGGGAGGGCTGCGGAGGGAAAGCCTCCTCCTGCAGGGATACTGATCGCCAGCAGCACTTTCCAAAACACCAATCCAGCTTGCTGGGCAGCCTGAAAATCTACAGCTCCTCCAGCAGTTGTTGGAGGAAGCCATCCATTCAAGTGAACAGCAATCCGGTTTGCTGCGTTCAGAGTTGCAGGCACAGCACCCAAGGGTTTGGGAATCGCTGGAGAGTCTGCAGCGATAATCCTTTAACAAGGATTCACTCCCGAACACCGCATCCTCTTAAGAGTTTGGAGCCATCAGCTGTAGAGATCTTAGAATTCACACACCGCCTCTGATTAATTGCCTGAAAATGTTGTGAAAGTCAGGGCTTCGGTTTGCAGGTGAAGTAAGTGCGGTGCTGCAGCCTGGGAACAGCCAGGAGGGGAGGAGGGATGGGAAGCACTCCTGTGAAACAGGCACGCCTCAAAGCAAGGCTTTAGAGTCCCACTTTTTACAAACATGACCCAGCTGTGCTCCTTGGGGTCCACGAGATTTTAATGAGGCAAAAATGATCAAAATGTCGTGACCTCTGTCCTCCCTTGTCCTAAAATCTGGATGATGGAAATGAAGTGGAGCTTAGCTAGGTTATATTTAGCTGATCACACAGAATGGAATAGCTCTAAGATCACGAAATAAAAGTTTTAAAATAAAAAGCTGTGAGGTTAGAGTAGGTATACCCCCAAAACAGCTTATATAAGCAAGTGTGGTTTTCCCAGGGTTGTAGTCCATGAATATTAACCAATTCCTCTTCACTAAGGCAATCTCCTAAATGGCTGAGGCTGGCTGTTTAATTTGTAGCTGCTACCTTGTAAATAGTGGTCAGGATTTCACACATTATCCAGGCACTTTGTCTTTATTAAAAATATTTATTATTCGTAGGCACAATATACTAGAAGCAGTAGCTACAAAAAATTACGGCTCTGTTGGCACAGGCTAAGAAAACAGCCAGGAATGTTATTCAAAGGTGATTTTGGTTTCCAGGCAATTTCCCTGCTCACGAAATGACACCTCTAGCTAGACCTGACTCCTACAAGCTGGCTTCCTTGCAGCACCAGCCCTTGCACGTACAAACTCTGAGACATTCTCCAGGTAGCCAAAAACCAAACACAAAATAGCATCAGGAAACGTTCATCAGAAAGTTCAGCTGTATTTTCCCCCCTCTGTCTAGATATGAGCATTTCAGTGTATAAAAAGAGTAAACCCAACAGCCATTAACAGCTGTTTCCTAGACTGGTGGATGAGCACACTAAAAAAAGGGAAAAAAAATAGCATTTGTGTTTAAAGCTAAAACATCTGAAACAGCCTCCATGTTCTTGCTGACTTGGGAATTTACCAAGAAGAAAGTTGCACAGTATGAAGCACTCAACTTACATGTGTAATCAGTGTCAAGACTCACCAGAAATTCACATTGTAAAGAGGTGATTTATGAGTTGAATTGCTGGGTTTTTGCAGTCTTTTCCCCCCCCTCAATTGCTTTGAAATATACTGTCAATTAATGACAATTTTCTCAAATAAATTCTTGGGTATTTGTTTATATACCTACTAATTATTTTATTTCTAGTAAGGCGACTATTACTTAGAAAAAAGTCTTTTTCTAAATGGAATCCATTGCTGAAAATAAAGGAGATTTACATGCAAGTTACTTGGGAATCTTGGGTGTCTCTCATTACATGCTTTGACTCAATCTTTCAGGATGATGCAGATTTTCACCACTCCAAACAAGAAACTGATTGCCTGGGTTCAGCTGCTCATGTAGGGTCAGACAGCCGGGGTGTGGATAAGGCAGTTTTTCTCCAGATAAGAAATGCAGAATATTTTACACATTGGGCTGTAATGGATTTAAAGATGCAGAAGGGAGTCCAATACAGCAGCAGTCACTTCACTGTGACACAGACCAAGTAACAGCAGATGAGGATGAGGTATTTTCCTGAAAGTTTGCACTGAGCAAACCTCAAGGCTGTAAGTAAATCTTCCTTGTTCTACATATAAAGTTAAACATGCAGAGTCTGCCTTTTTTTTTTTCTTTTTTTTAAACAGTACTCATTTCACCTTCAAAAGAGCAAGAGGGTGTTTCCATTTTTAGTCTGAAATACTTTGAAGTATTCCCGTTCCATAGAACAGGGATCTGGATAGTATTTGACAAAAAGAAAAAAAAATTAATTCCTTATTTTCATTTTGGTTTCAGTAATAAAGAAGTTAATGATCCCACATCTGGTTTTGTCCAGATATACTCTACAGCAGCCCACTGAAAACAGCACAGTTTGCTTATAGTTTTACTTTTATCCCAAACAGAACTTAATCCAGCCTAGAAAAATGTTCTTAAACACATCCCCAGCCAGACTGCCACACGAGGCAATCAGCGACCTCTGGGCTGATGTCACTTACCCAGAGCTGCACTTAAGAGTTGCTTGCAGTTTCACCACAGCAGCCAGATAATATTTAAGACAGACCTTAAAAATTTTTTCTTTGGCATACCACAGAATGAAGAAACACCACAAAAAAAAAAAAAAAAAAAAAAAAAAAAACAAAACCCAAAAAACCCCCCCAAAATCTTCATTCCACAAGTAACATTTGAATGCTGACACATCTGGAACAGCTGGGTAACAAGTTGTGCACATCAAGTTCAGAAAGCAGCTGCTTTTAGCCTTCATTTTAGGTCAGGCATTTGTTTGCAGCCATCAGTATATTTTATTTTGTAGCAGCAGTGTTCCCATATGGACAAGCCAAACAGCTCCTAGGATATACCAGCAAGCACATATAATGTTCTTTACAAGAAATGAAGGCCAGATGTTGCTTTGTTATCTCCATGTGCATCCTTAAAAAAGTTCAATTAAGCTGTTTCAGATATATGATCAATGCCAGGTACAGGTAATTTGTTTATCAGCCGCTTAAATGTCAACTTTCTAAAGGACAGAAAATAACATTTTAACTTAGGATTCAAACTGATATAAGATTAAACTACCCTAGAATAACTTCAGAAAATAATTATGGCACCATCCAGGATCACAGGGACAAAATAGTACTGTGTAGAAGAGACATCACGAGCCATTTCTGAGATCTGAATGAGTACTACTTATGGTTTATTAGAAAAGGAAAAATAAAACCCTCCACCTTAGCTTTAAAATACAATGAAAAGTTTGAGGTAAGACTTACCCAACAGCACCACTGATTCAAGGTTTTCTATTCTGCTGCTTTGCTCACCCAGGGCACAACTTAATCCACTAGTCTGAGTCCTAGAGAATTTAATAAATCTATTACTGAAAGTGTAGTTCATTAATGTTTTTCATGTATGCACTCCTGGTCCAACCAGTGGATAAGAATTCTGTCACGACCATCCAATTAATGTGATTTAGATTGAAAGGTGCAAGTTTTTTTTCTGATTTCCTGAAAATAGAACCTTATTGGATTCATTACATGATGAGTATTTCTGAGGAAATGTGAAGACTACTTTTTTTTTTCCAGCCCAGTGATAACATAAACAAGGTTTGGGTTTCAGCTGCCTGGTGAGGTCTTTCCCTCTGAGCCAGTCCACAACATAAAAAAAACTGCCAAGACACCAGCTATAACTTTTTGAGTAATGTCACTTTATTAAGGGACTTTAAAGATTCACATTCTCTAGTAGCCTTGGAACAATGCAAATGGTGAACAAAAGACAAAAATAGATGTAATTGGTTCTGAAAAGCATGAACATCTGTAGAGAATGTGCTGCATTATTCCTAAGGACTCTTGCTTTTGAAAAAAAAGCACGTTCCATATATACAAGTGTCAGTGCAATAGCCAATAAAGCAATCAGTCAGAAATATAAAAATATCCTAGATACAAACTTAAAATAGATGTCTGAAGGCTGACCATATCAGTATTCTGATATTTCTATATCTCAGGAGTATGATCACTGGGATGAGTTATTCTGATGAGGTAAGAAACAGTAGATGCTCTGTGATAACACAAAGCCATACATTTATTATTATTTTTTTTCCCATAAGACAAAAAAATAGAGCACCCAATGAAACTCCAAGTCTTTGCAGCAAGTGCCCACAGGAAGTGAAATTATAGTTTATGATCATTACTACATTCCTGCATCATTCACCTTTGCTGTCTTTGCCAACAATTCTATCAGCAAAACTTGCTCATTCTCCCCCCTTGCCCAGCTCCATTACAAACTGCACATTCCTTGCAGATACACCAAACCAATAACTGCTTTAGACACAGGCTAACACCTATAAATGTCCAAAAATCACTTAGTCATTCTTTCCTTTATTGGTTGCAATTCTTTTCTTGGCAGCAAGGGCAGAAAGAGATTGCAAACCTTGACAGCGAGCAGCTCTCTCTAGGAGGGTTAGGGAGAGAACAGGGTGTGTCCTATCTGCTTTGCCTCAGGTGTTCCAGTGATGCCACTGAACTTAAGCCTTGCTTGGTTGTGCAATAAAAACATTCTTTCTTCTTTGCTCTGTCTTTGCACTAATTTGGGGCTGCTGTTCCAAAAGAAGAGGGTGATATGGTAACTTTTCAGCTCAATGCTGTCTGCCTGCATCATCATTCATCTTTCCTTCAGCCATCTCTTTCACTGTGACCCCTCCAGGCTCTGCTGCTGAATTCTGCAAAAAAATTCCCGTTTTCTTACTTTTCAGAGAAAATGGCAGAACAACAGGTAGCCAGACAACATACTCTGCATCTTTGTGGCAAAGAGCACCAGGAAGAACTGGCAGCAGAGCTGGGAGTGCCAGAAGAATCCAACAAACACAAATTCCTACTTGGGGCGAGGGGCAACGGTAAAGTAATTTCAAACTGTGAGACCGTATCAGGCACTCCTCTATGGAAAAGCACAATGAATGATATAGCTTCTAGAACAGCAATATTAACTTGGTCAGGATATGATTTGTATGATAAAAAAAAAGCACAACAGGAGCTGGCAGCTGCCTTCCTGTGAAACTTGCCTTACCACTTATGGCACACACATGCACTGAAGCACACAGCAATTGCCTGAACCTGCAAAAGATTCCTCAGCTTTACATCCTAAGATTCAAAAGCTTTCCCTGAAATATTTTTGTTTCTCTTAGTTCTTTTCTAACCCTCTTTTGTCTCAGGCAAACTCAGGCAGCTGTGCGATTTGGAACAGCAAAGCTGGTAACATCTGTAGTGTGACAACACTTGACAGACTATTTCAGGTTTTCTTTCAGTTTCTGGAAGATGCTATGCAGATGCCAAAGCCTCCAGGAATCATCACACTTCTCTCCTTAACCCCACTGAACCTGGCAATCAGCGTTTGCAAATATTGAATTACTGCTCACCACACCCCACTAAGACAGGCTATTACCTCCCATGTAAACAGGCAGGGAATGGAGGAGCAGAATGACTAAGTGATTATTCCAGAATCCACAACACAAGTCTGGGAGAGCCAGGAGCTCAACCTGTATTTCTTGCATCTCAGTCTCAGGTTGTCTGTTTTGTTCTGTGTTGCAGCCTTAATTCTTTCCTGAAGAGGAAGACTGGGATCTCTTAAGAGTCTGTCACTGCTACTCTGGTTGACAGGTGATGTTGCCAGTGGGGTAGGAATTGTTGCATTCCCCACATCAAAAGGTGGAACACAGTGTGACATCTGTTTGCTGGAAGAAATACTAACCATACAAGTCCTTAAGAACATCAACATTTATTTAATATGATATAAAAGAAATGGGATATGAACATTCGTATTTGAACAATAATAAGTGGCTTCTTATACTTACATCATATGTGCTCATTGTATAATATATACACAATGAACATAATTACATTTGTACACAAACTAAGTACTGGATTGAAAACCTGCTTATTGCTGTACACACCCCAACCCCATGAAGGAAAAGCCCAGTACCTCAAAATACCTACACTCCATTTTAGTCAAGAAAAAGGAACCACTAACATTAATGTCTATGTTGACAGAAGTGTGGCAGTAACTGCTGACATTGCAACCTGACCAAGAAATCATTACAGCAGAAACAGGACATCTCTTACTAAGCAATAATAAAAATGGCACATTTTAAATATATCTATATGTATATATATATAAAAATTTTACAAATAAATTGTTAAAACAATAAATCGTAATGTTGAAAAAGTGTAAAACAAGGTTTAGTGGTGATATGTAAAATTAACCGAGTTATGCATCTAAAAGAGGCAAAAAAAGTAAACTTATATGATCCATCATTAAAAGAACATTAAATTCTGAAGAACAGCAAATAAAGTTTGACTGTAGGCTGCACATGAAAAAGAGCCTTTGTTTTATGTGCACGGAAATCGTAGCAGCAAGCTGGTATCAGGAGAACAATCTGAAGGTTGTTGAGTGTACACGTGGGCCATTTAAAGCTCTCTTGGAATAAACATTTTCCAGGAAGTGATAAAACGATGCTCTGTGGCCAAAAGCATCAGAACTATGAATTTCATAGATTTAAAATATACTGTACAATATCTTCTCATATGTTCATAGGTCAGGTCCATACATCTCAGGCATGAATTGTTTCAACAGAAGCCGTTAGTGCTGCAAGACAGACACAGATTAAGTTACTCCATTTTAGCAACAGAATATCATCTAAAGAATTCAGGGGATTAAACACAGCAAAGAACTCCTGACCCCAACGTAGCAATAGTTAACTATCTTAGAAATAGTTGTTTCCAAAATCTGGTTTCCTGATGAATAATACTGCTGTCAAGATATTTCAACAGAAAGAAGCAAAGCCAAGATTTCTTTTTTTCAAACTGACACCACTTTGAATGAAAGTCTGTTTACTCTGAGAGTTTTATCCTGTTACATACAGTCACCTCCAAATGCTCTTCAGCTAAACCCAGCAATAATAGCAAAGATCCTAACTAGTCTGAGAAATGCAAGGCACATTTTGAAGAGGGATGCAGAATTATTGAGTTGCTACACTGCACTGGCAGTGCAGTTCAAATGCCCCACCCAGAGCTTGCTGTATTTTGGTAATTGCTGCAAGGACTTCTATAAATAACTTTTAACAGTTCATTGGTACAAATGTTCCTGAGCTTTGAACCCAGGTGCTGTATAAAATTTCATTATTCCCCCATTACTCAGTGCAAATGCAATGCTTAAAATCTAACAGGGCCGGTGGTGCACACAGAGATTTGTCTCTGCAAAATAAGGGCTGTGACAAAAAAGGAGCCTTGTGTTAGGGGGTTCCTCCTTAGTCCTACAATATCCTGTGCCATCAATTTCCTATGGCAAATTCCCCCGGCATGGTGCCAAGAGTATCATTTTTCTAATTGACTGTAAAAGCCAAACACAGGTATTACCTCTTCATTCCCTGAAATCTACTATACATTTTCCAGATGTTGCCTGAAAAATTTGGTTGCACATGACCAGGGCTGATCCTACAGCCTGGAAGTTCCCTTTGCCACTTAAGGCTTCTTGAAAATGAGGGATGCTGAATTCCTGTGTGATAAAAGGTGTGCCAAAATCCCTCAGCAAAGCACTGGAATACTGGAACACAGCCCCAGAAGGTAGAGGGCAGTAAGCACTGTGCTCCATCCATCTCCTCTGTATGCTAAGCCCAGCTCATGGCACAAATTTCTTTTGGAACTCCAAGGAAACAACCAACAGAGGCATCAAATGCAGCGATGTGGAATGTAGGTGCTTTTCCCAACTCAGCCCAAACACTGAACAGCCACAAGGGATGTGTCTGAAGCTCTGGAATCCTTTCTCCATCAGAGAAAGGATTCCATGTGCAAGCATGGAATCAGACTGACAAGTGCCATTCCAGATGGACCATTCTGTCATAAAACTAAAGCAGTTAAAGCCTCTTTAGGGGCTTTTGAGGGTGGGGTTGTCCTGAACACAGAAATGCTTCACCTGCAGAACTGGCTGTGGGGATACACCTCACCAAGGGGGCCAAGCCTTTTCCTACTAATTTCTATTTTATTCAGCATAAATCCTAAAGGAAATTTCTGAGCTGAGAGCAGCTTAATGCAATTGGTGACAGATTTCTGGTTGCTCCCCCCTTCTGACAGGTGCCCTGTGCCTACAGACAGAATCCAGCAGTGTCACTTTCGTTACTGACCCAAACCTCAGCTGATGGGGGAATGTTTGTCCTGTTTAAAAAGGAGATGCATGATAAATGTGTGCATATTTTTACAGTATATTTATATGAAATAGAAAGATTTATATTTATAAATTTATTTATAAAATATGTATACATATATTAATATTTATATAGTGAACCTGAAAAGCATTAACAGTATTCCCAGAAGGAAAGTCCCACTCATTTGTTTTTAATAGTTCTGTAATAAACATTTTGAATGAAAGTACAAAGATTCAAGCTAAATCTAATCATGGCAGATCACACCCATCAGGAAGGCAGGAGCAGTGTCAGGACTGAATGTGAAGATGGCATTTTCAACTTTCTCAAAAGGAGAAAATAATTTAATAATATTTTAATAATTTTCCTTTTTTTTAAGGATTATAAACAGTTTTTTGCCCTTAGTTAATATTAGAAAGGTCTCTGTGATGACTAATAAGTCTAATTTTGCTAAAATGAAACCCTGGCGATTGAGACTGAGACAGTAAATTTTAAAAAATGCATTTTCAGCTCTCCTCATGCTAAATGACTGAAAATGTCTCAATTTTAAATGGTTCTTGATTTTAAAGCTTTCTTAAGTTACATTAGCTGTGGCATTTAACATTGCCACTGAAACAAAGCAGAAAACTTATTTAAACAGACGCTTCCTGACAACAAAGAAATGTGGACTGATTTAAATGCTGAAGCATTCACACTATATCCTACTAATTTTGTTGAACACCTGCCCAAACAAAACAAGCACACACTTTATATTTCCATTGCCATTCATTAAGTGGGTGACACCACAGGTAGAAAATGTAAACCTAGCCTAACTCTTGCTTTCTAACTTGATTCCTAGAAGCAATCACCCACTATGGCAGGGAAGAGCAGCTGTGTAGGGCTTTCTCTGTAGAAAGAAAGGGGAAAAAAAAGTTTTGTAATTGTTGTTTCCATGTCTTAAGCCATGAATTCTCCAGGCCATCAGCCCAGTCCCTCCTGTGCATCCCCAGCTCTGAGCTCTGGCTGCCCATTTTGCCCATGGCTGAAGCATCAAGACTCATGGGCACCTGTGCAGTGATGCTCAAGCCTTAACTCCCTGTTTTGGAGCAGCTCAGGCTGTTAATTCCAAGGCCATTACCCTGCCAGTTGTGGAGAACATGCTTGATAAACCAATTAGCCCTTGATAAACCAATTAGCCCTTTCTCTTTGTAGCTGGACAGAGAGTGCACTCCTTGCAAGCAAATCAACACACAAATTTATTTCTTTCCTGGCTCATTTCTATTCAACACTGCAGGTAACCCTGTCTTGCTGAATATCAGACGTTTCTCACAGAAATAACAGCACACAAATCAGCTGGAAGAATATTAGGAAGAGGAGAGGTGGGAAAGAAAGCACGTACTTGTCTGTAACTATACACACATGAAATGGGATCCTTCTGTGAGCTGGGTCTGTGTGGATGGAGCTGGTGACAAGGATGATTCTGGTGAGGAAGGCAAACTTTTCACTGCCAGTCATACAGCAAAAGAAAGAAGAATACAAGTTACAGAAGCCATAATAAAGATCAGCTTGAAAAAGCACCGTTTCAAGCCGTAGCAAATATAAGCAGAAACAAATGAAAGCTACACAAGTAAAGGCTTAAAATCTGATCAGCACAAAATCAAGGGAGAGCACAGCTGATCCTCAATCAGGCTTAGAAATAACTAGCAGAACAGCAAACACAGGAATGCTGATGTTTTATGTCGCCAAGAAAGAGAGGGGGAAAAAAAAGAGTAAAATTTAAGTATTTGGGATAGGCCCAGATCCACCTTCATATCCCAGCTCAGATGAACTAAGTGTTCCCATTCTGCTGAGCAGTGCAAAATGCACAGACAAGTTCTGGTTTTGATTATCAAGTCACAGAAAGGATTGCTGACTGCACTACAAAGGTCCAGATCACCTTTTATATCCATAAGTTGAACCATTTGGCTTACTTAACCATTCCCATCACCAAATAATGTCTTGAAGTCTATCTTCTCCCTTCCTCCTTCCCTACTCACTCCTTCCTTTTTTTTCCTTCTTTGCACCCAATTTTGCTTTATTCCACTCTTCTCTTCTTGCAAAATAGTCCACCACCAGTCATTGTACCAGTCAGGTGCTGTTTTCTGTTTTCTTCATCTTTCTTACTCCTCAAAACATGGCCAAACTGGGGTCTTTTACTTGCTACTTTAAAATATTGGAAACTCTCAATAATTCCACAATTTTGGGTACATCTAAGGTCACTCAGCAGCAGGGAGTGATGGTAAAAAGTCTACACATAGCCAGGACTGAGATGAAAAAGGAAGGATTTGCTCCAACCAACAACTACAGCATGACTCAATTTCTGGCAGCAGTTATTTAAATCCCTGAATTAGCAACTATAAAAGCTATATTAAAACCTCAGAAAAATGGAGTTTGTGTAGCTGTCCACTGGGAAACTATTTTTCTGTGCATTATAAAACTGTACACTTCACATGTAGACTAGCTCAGCATTTTCAATTCACAAGGGTTTCAGAGCATCAAAAGACACAATGAAAATGAAATAAAGTTTTACATATGTACTGGATAAGTTGTAAGCTGCAGTCAAACTCTTTTCCATACCTGCTGCTGCCTGATTTCCTTTTGAAGACTGTGCTGCTAATTCAAATGAAGACACAATCCCTTCTTGTTCTTGAACACTGAGTATTTCACTTTCTTCTGAGCTGCTTTTGGGTTTGTGGTTTGCAACTGTGGTCACACTCTGCAAGCTGCTTAAAAAAGCACAGCATTTAGAACCTGCTCCAACTTCATTTCAGGTGTTAACCACTAAGTATAGGAACTATGATTTAATTTTCTCCTGTTAACAGAAAAAAAGTTGCAGCTTGCAAGTCTGGGTAGCATAAATTAAGCAGGCATTTTGAAACCCTTCTTTTAAAAAAGCACCTGGGATTTAATTCCTTTCCTACTGCTGCAGGATCCTGTGACAAAGTTATGACCTAATGTGAGATCTCACTTAGGACCTGCAGTGCAACCTACACCAAAGCTAGGAATTGTGAGAGAGAAATATCCAAGATATAATATCCCTCTAATTCTGCAATGCTGCAAAGCAGTGAGGCAAAAATTAAAGCAGGAGATGTACAACAAGATGTTTAGTTTTCTCCTAAATTAATCAGCAATAAAGACCATGCTATGCAAGCACTGGCTGGAGTGTTCACAATAAATTGATACAAAGATTGAAGTGACATTATTAAACACATTTTGGAGGCCAAGACAAGGATTATGAATGCATTCTGTTTATAACTGGGATAACACTTGAAAATAAACATTGTTTCTCCCACCAAGTCACCAACTCTGAACCCCTGCAGCACTCAAGCCTCTCACTACATTTCCCTATATATAAACCTCTCAAAACCATATAAATAAACCTTTTCAGTATTTATGGCAATTGCTTGGTCCACTCAGCTAATAAATACAGCATGCAAGTCTAAAATAGTCTCTGAACATCTTGTTTGATTTTTACCTTGTATCACCATCATGTGTTTCTTCCAATTTATTTTTCTTTTCTGCTTTCTCTTCATTACTCCCTTCTTTTGAGTCAGATGCAACATGTGCATCTGATAAAAGATCATCAGTTTTTGACAGCTATAAAAAAATTGAAATCATGAAACAAAAAGCTGTAACACACACTAAGTGGCAGATAAGAAATACAGTACCAGGAAACAGTTTTATTAACAGACAAATTTTGCCATCATGTATACTTAGTAACTCAGAATTACATAACTTAAGAAATTTTTATCAATACCATGCAGGTTAATAGAGTTATCCTAAAATTTATACCAGAGGCCAGGGGCAGGGTTTGCCTTAATAACTTCCAGAACTTCTCTGAACTCTTTGGATTGCAGCCTGCCTGTTTTTCCATGCTATCCCTCTCTTCACAATGCCAAAATTGTGAAGAGAGGGATAGCTATTTTGTTGATAAGACTGAATGCTGCTTTTAAGGTCTGATTACATAAAAATCATTTGAGTGCATTACATAATTTTCCTTTTGATACATTTGCATATTTAACAAAGCAACAGTCTCTTAATAAGGAAGTGTTTCTAATGGATAACAATAGAAATTAGTTATTTGATTTTATGCCATTCTCCATCAGATATACATATTAAAAAAACTAAACATAAAATAGGAAAACAAAAGGATGATTAAACAAAAGAAGGATTAACTGAGGAATATGGATATAGAAGAATATAAAACCTCTACACAATACTTTAATAAATATTCAACTATAAACAGGATATGATTATGTAGAAGCAACTCTAGCAATCCATTCTTCACAGTCAGTCTGGTTTTGCTGAGTGTTAAGGGCACTTTAGTACCTGAAACACCAAAGTAATTCCCTGCCAAGTGTGTTTCAAACTCTTTCAAGACAGAAATCAAAGCAGTGAAAATACCTAAAAGTACAGGTATTGCCTGCTTCTATGTGTAATTTGTTGTGTCAGCTTTATTCTGCTTTCTAGAAACCATTTGATGCACTATAGCCAACCAAACAAAAATTCAGGGGCATTAAATGGCTTTCAAAAATTCCACTGGGGTAGCCTAAGCAATGAAGAGCTCTTTATTACTTGAAGACCACATACAAGAAAATTCAGTGTCTCAGCTATAGACAGATCCCAATGAATTTTGTGATTCTCTATGGAATATTGTATTCTCAACAAGAAGTCTTTATCTTCCAAGCAAAAGGAACTGGTTCACTTTCCCATCCTCTGGTGTGTGTGTCTCAAAATAGTTTGTTACTGCAGGACAAGCTGATGAACAGTTTAACAAGGAATAGCTCTGTACCTCTTTAGCAAAACTTGAATTATGCTCTTGAACAGTTTAATAAGGAATAGTTCTGTACCTCTTTAGTAAAACTTGAATTGTGTTCTTGATCTCCATCATTTTTCAGCTGCGCTATTTCTTCCCCAGGACTTCCATTATTTTGTTTCAAATTATTTTCTCTGCTGGTGCTCTCTAACTCCTTCATGTTACCAGATACTGTATCCTCCTTTTTCCGATTCTGAGGAACAAAATTGGCACATGGACATATTGTTACAAAAGTTATCACTGTCTCAGTTCTGAGCCTTGTGCTGCCCTCTAACTGATTAAAAAAAGATATCTGAATAAACCTTAAGCATAGATTGCAGTAGGGAAAATGGAAATCATTAAGGACTTGGAATTTTCTCATTTTTGTACTTTTCAAAACAGTTCAGCCTAACATTTGTCTGCAGGATTATTGTGCTTTCTGCCCCACCTTCCTCTCCAGCATTTCAGTGTCACCCTTATCTTCTGAAATTTCATTCACATTTAGCTCAGTCACAAATCAGCTCAGCAGCATTCTTACTTGCATTCACAAGCGCTGCTCTTTTTGGAAAATAGCTTTTTCTGGTTTAAGAACAAAAATCGACAAAAATCTGCTTTCAGCACAGAAATCACAGTGCACCTGCATGCACTTCCTCCAATTATCTTGGGTATCCTCCAAACCTGTGGTGATTTAATAGAGGAAAACACAGTATCTGACAATGGCAGAGGACATTAATTATTTCTTTCCAAAGAATCCATTGCACAGAGAATAAGTTGATGCAAAAATTCTGAGGAAGGATGGTGGAGCTGACTCAAGACTGTGAACTTTGAACATGATACTGGCAGAGCTGAAGGGAGGCTCATCTGAGAACTGGAGCTGAGAAAAATAGGAGCCATGGAAGCAGTAAATCTCCAAGCTGAACTCCTGTGATCTAACACATGCACCCTATTAGGAGGAAATTCCACCTAAGTCAGTTCATAAATCAGTGTCTCTGCTCTCCTGAATTCAAGTATGCACCCCTTGTCATCTGCTCGTCCCAACAACAGTTGTGAAGCAACTTCCTTTTGGATTATGGTAATCACTTCAAAATTACACAGCAGGCCATCTATGAAATCCTCTTCCCCCTCCAATTCTTAAATAACCAAACCACAGTCGAAAAGACTTCCAGCAGTTAATGCCATTGCACCATTTTTCTAAAAATCAATTGACATAAAAACTATGCTTTCAGAAATTAAAGCTATTACTCAGCATAATACCTCATCCTGGGGCTTTCAGCCAAATAGCATTCTGCAAGAATTGAAGTTATGGTAGAGAAAGTGACTTTGTAACGTGGACTATTAGCTAAATATTCAATTCAGAGATCTTCTCACTTACTCTGTGAATTTCTCCTCATCCACAGAGGTCTGATTTCACAGAGGAGACTGAGGGACGTGGTGCAATGAACAGAATTACTCTGAGTTCTGGCCCAGATCTGGCCCCACCGTGACACACAGGACTGCAGCTCCCTCACCCTGAGCTATGGAACGACACCACAGGGAAGAGTCAAAGCTTAAACTTCCCTTTCCAGTAAAAAATACTGAAAGAAACATCTGCAAAGCTTTGCTTGGCACGACCTCTCCTCCAGAAAGGCAGTGTTAATCACAGAAATATTTGTAGGAACTGCCCTCACATACAGCATTCCTGATGGCAGCCCAAATGCAGATGCTCTATTGCAAAGGCTAAACTGCAATTCAGAGCCTTCTGGGGATGCAAAGTTCTTGAAGAAAAAGTAACTTTTGTATAACTCTGTAGCAGCTTCTCATGTTGAGAGGGGAAAAAAATCAACCCAAAATGCAAAGCTGAAACATCTTTGGAAATACCTGATTTCCTGACACTGCAATATATTTAAACTGCTTTTGGAAAATCAGATGTTTAAATGCCTAAAAAACAAAAAAAAAAAAAAAAAAAAAGAAGGCATTTCCATACCAGTAGAAAAGCAAATAATAATAGTAAAAAAAAAAAGCCAGTAAAGAGTGTGGCCTGAGGAAAAAAAGTATTCCAAAAGATTAAAAACCCAAAGAAACAAAAAATCAACTCCATTAAGCTACTGGAAAAGAAAACTAATTTTAAATATCTAGAAACTAGTAGGCTGCCTAATATCTGCTATCCTATATCTGGGTTTGGTTTGGCTTTTTGGATTTTGTTTGATTGTTTGGGGTTTTTTTAGATATATATTCAGAATAATATTTCCTGGTTAGTGCCAAGCAGTTGTATCTCCCCTTCTCTCCCATCCTTTACCCATGAATAAACTTTTCAGGCAAATAAACAAGTTTAAGAACGGTGAAAACAAAAGTGTGGGTTCTAATTTAATGTATTTATGGGCTCAAACACCACAGCAGAAGAGCACCATTAGGAGCTTTGATCATAAATATACATTCCTACCTAAAAATGTTGCAGATGTTTGAATACATTACAGGCAGAAAAATCAGCACTGACTCCAGTTCAACATCAACAGAGTCACGATTCTCCCTGATCTTGTTTTCAGTCCCCAACCTTGCAATTTCACCTTGTTTGCTAAACTTGACCAAAACACCCCTCCCTGCTCCCAAACATCACAGTGCACAATCAAATGGATGTGGATTTTTTTTTGCTTCCCAAAAAGGCAAAGAAGTGGCTTCTACCATTAGGTGTAAGCATGAGGGTTGTCCTTTCGAGGTTGTGACTCCACAATTAGTCTCAAACCAACTCCTTTGGTGTTAATTGGACACATGAAAGCTTCTGATCACCCACCTGTGCCAGTTTGAGTGGATTATCCCTGACATAGGACAGGCTCTGGGAGGGAGACTGCTCTGAAACACCAATGAGATTGAGCCCTTTCCTCTTTTCTCTCAGACAAGCTTGTGGTGCCTTGTGGGAAATGGATTTTTGAGAGTTCTCAGGGGTGACAGAAGGCCCACACTGTGTGCATCCACATGCAAACCCTGAGATAAGAAACGCTGACTAGGAAATGCCATGGAATGGGACAGACACTATTGAGACAGAAATGGAGCTAAAAAAAAAATAAATCAAAAGATGGCCTTGCAAAGAAGACTGGATACTTTGGAGAAACAGAACTACTGCTCTGAAACACCAATGAGATTGAGCCCTTTCCTCTTTTCTCTCAGACAAGCTTGTGGTGCCTTGTGGGAAATGGATTTTTGAGAGTTCTCAGGGGTGACAGAAGGCCCACACTGTGTGCATCCACATGCAAACTCTGAGATAAGAAACGCTGACTAAAATGCCTCCCACTGCCCCATCTCTGGGTCAGAAAAAGGTATTTTCTGACAAACTGGTGTTCCCATGTCAGGAACAGATAACTCAGCTAAACTGCCCGACCTGTGGGATAGCCCCGAGGTCATTTTTGTGAAGTGTTGCTGTTTGCTTCCCAAAAAGGCAAAGAAGTGGCTTCTACCATTAGGTGTAAGCATGAGGGTTGTCCTTTCGAGGTTGTGACTCCACAATTAGTCTCAAACCAACTCCTTTGGTGTTAATTGGACACATGAAAGCTTCTGATCACCCACCTGTGCCAGTTTGAGTGGATTATCCCTGACATAGGACAGGCTCTGGGAGGGAGACTGCTCTGAAACACCAATGAGATTGAGTCCTCTCCTCTTCTCTCTCAGACAAGCCTGTTGGTGCCTCTTTATTCTTTCCATCTGTTCCTCCACAGTCATTCGGGGCCGTGAGCCTTCTGCAAGGCACAGCTGCTCCACTGCACTCCTTGGCCTTTCCTTAAATGGAAGAAAAAATATATAGATGTTTCAACAAAACTAAGATTTCCAGAAGAGATCACCTCATGATTTACTAAAGAGCACAAAAATAGTGGGCAAATAAAGACCTCCTATGTATGTGAAAAAAAACCCAGTACAAATACCAATTATCAATAACTGAACACTGGAACTCAAAATAAAAGGAAGGAATAATTTGCTCTTCTGAACTATAACACTACCATCACCAACAATAAACATCAGGAGAATGGGTAGATGTTCTCTAAGCCACCCTCTCAAGCTGAAACAATTCACCAGACATTATAAAACTGGCAAACACAAGATATTTGACTGAGACAGAAACATAATTGAAATTTAATGATCCAGGACATTTATACCAGTTGATCTAATAGTAATTTCTGCCTTTTTATTTCAAGAAAAACTACAGCTGGGCATCATTTAACTGCAAGTTCAGGCTGAAACAAAGTGAATTTACTACCACTTAAAAATCTGTAATTCTAAGCATCATCTTTTTCCCAAAATAACACCCATTTACCTACTGTTCTTGAAATTCACTGGTTTTCAGGCAGATTTGTACTTTTTATGACAGACAAAAATGACTTCAGGCTAACCAGCTGCATTCAGTACATTTACAGGAACTGATTTGATTATGAAAAGTGATGTTCCTTCTCCAGTCAACATCCTGGGAGTTTCTCTCTCCTCTCCCAGTCTTCCCACAACTTCTCCCCTACCATTTGTGCTGTAACTCTGGCAAAAGTTTTCCTCCCTTTTGCATGAACTTCATGTAAATGTGTGTCTTTAACCCATAGACAACAGAAGTGTGCAATCTGAAATTTCAGGCTTATTGCCTGCATACTGCTTACTACATCCTTATTTTGTGGCTGCTTCAGGGATTTCCCAAATAATTTTAGAACTGAGATAAATAAAAGCCTGTGTTTGTTATAAAGGGGCTGTTAAATTGCCAAATACAAGTGTTTGAAAGATGCTTCATGTGCTTTCAACTCAAGCCTGAACTTCAGCAGATTTATTATTTACCACTCAACTCCTGCCCAGTTTGAGGGATCTCCCTGCAGTTTAACATGCACAGCATTTATAATTTCATCATTCTTTCTATAGCTGTCTCTGTTAGAATTTTGGATGTTCAGATTTTTAGACTTTTTTGTGGTTTCAGGTATAGACTTTTAAGAAAACACTACATTTGACTTGAGGTTGTAGAGAAAGTTTCTAAAATTGAATGACAGAACCGAGATGAAAATTGTATAATATCACTCAGTAGAAAACTTAAAGTTTTAGAATACAGTAATATATATAAAGCTAAAATAGAAGTTTTAAGGTAGTAGCTAGTCTTTTTCTTCACCTTCTTCTTTACTTTTTTTTATGGGTTTGAGTGGTATTTTGCAATTAGAAAAGTCTGCATTGTGGGACACAGGTGATTAGTTACTGAGTTAAAAGTAAAAATAATTTAAGTGTCATTTCTTAATTAAATAGCTTTTCTTTAAAAGACTTTGTAGAGATAAATATGGAGCCATTCTGTAGTTTATTAGTAAAATGCTGCAGAACTCACACTTTGTAAGACTGTAATATAGGTAAGAAATAATAAACCTCTGACTCCAAACACAAAATACCATCTCGAGTGCTTTCAATCCCAACCCTGACCCACACAAAAAAAACCCCAGAAGAATCCAACTAGCATAATTAATTAAGTATATAATGCTTAATCTAGTATATAATGCTTCTGCAACAGTGATTTTTCTTTTTTTTTTTTTTTTTGTGAAGATAATGAAAGTAACTTCAACTTTTGGAGTAACTACCAAACATAAAAATGTATATTTTAGCCTAGTATATAATGCTTCTATAACAGTGATTTTTATTTTTTTCTATCTTTTTTTTTGGTAAAGATAATGAAAATAACTTCAACTACCAAACATAGAAATGTATAATTTAATCTAGTATATAATTCTTCTGTAACAGTGACTTTTCTTTCTTTCCTTAATTTTTCTTTGTAAAGATAATGAAAATAACTTTACCTTTTGGAGTAACTACCAAACTTAAAAATGTGTAATTTAACCTAGTATATAATGCTTCTGTAACAGTGATTTTTATTTTTTCTTTCATCTTTTTGGTAAAGATAATGAAAATAACTTTAACTTTTGGAGTAACTACCAAACTTAAAAATGTATAATTTAATCTGGTATATAATGCTTCTGTGACAGTGATTCTATAACTGATTCTATAGTATATAATTACAGTAACTCTACAGTATATACAGTGATTCTATAGTATATAATGATTCTACAACAGTGATTTTTATTTACTGCCTTTTTTTTTTTTTTGTGAAGTTGATGAAAATAACTTCAACTTTTGGAGTAACTACCACATTTAAAAATGTATAATTTAACCTAGTATACAGTGCTTCTGTAACAGCAATTTTTATTTTTTTTCTTTTTTTTGTAAAGATAATGAAAATAACTTCAACGTTTGGAGTAACTACCCAACTTAAAACATACAATTTGATCTAGTATATGTTTCTATAACAGTGATTTTTCTTTCTTTCTTTCATTATTTTTTCTTGGTAAAGATAATGAAAATAACTTTACCTTTTGGAGTAACTACCAAACTTAAAAATGTGTAATTTAACCTAGTATATAATGCTTCTGTAACAGTGATTTTTATTTTTTCTTTCATCTTTTTGGTAAAGATAATGAAAATAACTTTAACTTTTGGAGTAACTACCAAACTTAAAAATGTATAATTTAATCTGGTATATAATGCTTCTGTGACAGTGATTCTATAACTGATTCTATAGTATATAATTACAGTAACTCTACAGTATATACAGTGATTCTATAGTATATAATGATTCTATAACAGTGATTTTTATTTATTGCCTTTTTTTTTTGTGAAGATAATGAAAATAACTGTATAATTTAACCTAGTATATAGTGCTTCTATAACAGCAAATTTCTTTCTTTCTTTTTTTTTTTTGTAAAGATAATGAAAATAACTTCAACGTTTGGAGTAACTACCCAACTTAAAACATACAATTTGATCTAGTATATGTTTCTATAACAGTGATTTTTCTTTCTTTCTTTCATTATTTTTTCTTGGCAAAGATAATGAAAATAACTTCAACTTTTGGAGCAACTACCAAACTAAAAAATGAAGACATCCAGTGCTCAAAGGTTATTTCAAAGTACCGTTCTTAGATCTATCTTCTTATTCTTCCTCAAAGTGACATAGGATGCTATGGTTGAGGACTCTGGCGTTGGGGATTTGGTTCTGGGTGGAACAACTCCCACAGGGAAATGTGAGCCTGCAAAACAGCAAAGGAACATACTGAGCGCTGTGCAAAACACTGCCAAAAGTGGTGATTTGTTTTCTAGAAGAGACACATGTTCAGCCTTGGGAACTCTTCTCCAAAAGGCAGATTCAGAAAGCGGTGCTGAGAGTTGGTGGGTGCAGATTTTGGAAGTCCATCCACTCCTGGATGGCCTGGTTTGTGTGTGCACACCCGTGCTCATGTCTGTGGGTGAATGAAATCACCCCTGAGGATATTCTGCTGTAAAGCAGCAGTTTGGGTCTCCTTTAGACAGAAAAAAGGATAAAACACAGCAGAATTCCATTTTTTTTTGGTGTTGTCTTTACCTACCACGCCGGTCACAAATATTCCTCTGCTCTCATATCTGACATGGTCCCATTTCCCTTTAATTGCTGATGTTTGAAAAGAGAGGGAAATGGCTGGCATGGGAAGTGTTCAGTACTGTAACCACAGTGCACAACCACCAGAAAAACCTTTTTAAATTTCCTCTGAAAATATTTACTTTCAGAACCACCCTCAATAAGAAACTCTCATCACTGAGGGATAACTTCTTAAAACAGCAAGGCAGAAAAAACTCAGAGATGAGCTGCCTTTGTTTCTTTCCTTAACAGCTTAAAAACTTAAAACAGAATGGCATAAAAATGTTTCCTGTCATGGCTTACACACTATAACAGAACTGAAACAATCAGAAATGGTTACATTTTCCTGCTGCATGGGGATTGTTATTGTCAGTGAATGCCCAGAACAAGAAATGTCTGTTAGAAAATTCATCTGCTCACGTGATAAAACACAGCTATGATAAACAACACACTGAAGGGAGTTTTAGAATATACAGAGCCTCTCACTGCTTGCTACCACTGCAGCTATTCTGTTCCACACCTCTAAATATGATTTATCTTAAAGGGATTTGCACTACTGCTTTCCCTGACTTATGACTGTTTTTCTACAAATGGACAGAATAAAATAATTTCTGTCTTTGAGACAGAAAGCAGATGAGGGTGCTTAAAAAGTGTTGGGTTTCTTTACATAATGTGGATTTTCTCATTTTGTCCCTATCATTACTTCACCTCCTGACATAAATTACTGTGAATAATCAGAAACATCACAGGTCATTGAAACCTAGGCATGTTGTCAGAAAGACAAGTTTCTCAATTTAGGTCATTGATGATTAGCAAATCTCAGGATAAATATTCCATTTTCTGCCACCAAGTTAACAAGAATTTAATTATGTACCTTAACATTGTATCTCAGCAAATACCCCAGAGAGTCTGAATTGACAAATTGTGTGGTAAGTGCAAGCTTAATTATATCACAGGGCCATTCACATAATTTATACCCAAATTGTATGCTAACCTTAGTTAGTTTTAAAAACCTCTATGACCATTCTGATGGAAACAATATCTTTGTATAAGCATAATTCTTGCTAAAATTCTGTTATCATTGCATCAGCCTGCTCTGTCAAAGCACCAAAACAGAAGGCAGTGACCCTGCTGGCACTGGCAACATCAATCCTTAGGGTAAAAAAAATGATTTAAGTTTAGGTAGTTTCCCTCAAAGCTCTTAATATGGATTTTGGGAGGTGCTAAAGCGGAGCTTTTCCCTGAAGTCACCTTTAACAAACTATTCTGTGTGTTTTAACAAACAGAATTGAGAAGCACTTCCTGGTAAAAGACTCTACCAAGCAATTAGTAGCTTTTATGGGAGCTAGATGAAGAGAAGAATCCAAAGCATTTAGCAATTGCAAAGACCTTTATTGTCTGTACACTCCAAGGTCATGATCGTTATTCCTATTATATCAGAGGACAGAAGGCAATTCAACAATTACAAGATTAAAAAAAAAAAGAAAAAGACATTGTTTCCCTGCCTTATGAGAACCTGAAAATTCTGTGGCGCTGCCTTTTTGGACGTTCCAGCGACATAACATCGGGAGCTTGATTCAAAAACTGAGTAATTGTTCAAGGGCAAGAACATAAAATGGGTAATTGTTCAAGGGAAGGGTGTGTGGGGAATGTGAGTGATGTGATTAGACATGGTGTCAATAAGGATTTCAGGCTTGTTGGTGAGTGTAATGTTTGATTTTTCTGCGGTGTAATTGACTGAAATTTCTCTCGTCATGTAATTAAATCATTATTTCATTGTGGAAGCTGTTCCATCAAACTGAGAAATGGACAGGCTGCAAAGGCATGAGGCAGCTTCTACAACACTCTACAAAGCTCTGCATTCCTTGTGAGAAAGCTGAAAGGTTGCAAACACCGTGCCTGGGGACAAACCTTTAGATGAAGATTCCGACTCTGAAATTGGTTCTGTTTTTTCTTCACCATTAGACTCATCCACTTCTGCTACTGTAGTTAACTCGGGTTCACTCTTATAAAGCCTATAATCAGGACCCTGAGGAACAGCAAGGGATGAGGTAAATAAACAGGCACTTTGCTACAAGTATTTATGTCTTAAGACTCAAATAAATTATTTTGTTATTTTGTGATAACTCTGCTCTCACTTAAAGACGGTGTTACATCCTTCCAGTGGTATGGCAGAAGTGTTTTCTGGTAGGTAATTTGAGTAACAACATTTTCAGACAATCAGAAATTATAGGAGAAAATTGCCATAAAAAGGCAGAGTTGTGGGGTTTTTTTAATGATTCTTCTGGAAACAAATTGGTATAAGCTTCCAAAACTGAGCCCAGAGTTTTTTTAAAGAACTAGCGAGGAGAAGAATCTAAATTTATGCAATTTAAGTCTTAAGACATTTTATATATACACAGAACAGATGACAGGAGAATGTGAAGAGCAAATGATGCAGCTATAAACAAAACCAAATAAAAGTGAAACCATAACACAGAAGTAGCCAGATGAGTAAACAAAAACGGTGGCTGTGCACGGGAGGGAGGATGCTTCAAGAAGAACGTGGCAGTTTCAGCCACTTACACAGTAAGATCCATTTCTCTGATATCCTTGAACTTGGTACATCTTCTTTTCTTCTGTCAGATGTACTGGGCCCCTGCTATAACAGAGCAAGGAGCTGCTATCACTGGGCAGAGGGGGGATTATGGGAGGATGCTCTGTAAAGTCATAGGACCGAGGGAGTGGAGGACGAGGTGGGACTACTTCCTCTTCCTAAAGATTGTAGAATAGTCACCTTATTTAGACGTGCGCACCTGGTACAGTTATTTATAACTTAAAAAGAAAAATATATTACCATGGCTACAGCAGCTATAGATTTTGCAGTTAAAGGGACAATGTCACATGTAACAAAAAGGAAAAAAATGAATCTAGCAGCTGCGCTTTCTGCTGGACACATACAAACTCTCTAAATTAAAAAAAATTAAATCTGTTATCTTTTGAAAGATTTTTACATAAATGAGACTTTTAGAAAGTTCTGTAAGCCAGATGTATATTGCACACACTTTAGATAACCATGACAATGTCCCTTTAAAACTGTAACTTCTAGCCAGATTTTCAGAGGAATTGAACATTTGGGAGCTCCCACAGTCTCAGATCTTCTTGTGGGTGCTCTGACCATCTGAGAACCAGGCTCAATATCTCAATAAACATATAAAGCAATGTATTTCTTCCCATGAAAAGTGTGGTGGGTAGAAAACATATCCATAAATCAGGGTTTGTATTTCTACATTAAGAGGAAAGGGTAAGAAATGGAAAAGAGAAACATACCAGTGAGAATACAGAGATACAGTACAAAGGAGTGTTAGAATTACTAGTGGAGGTATCAGTCTTTAAAACTAGTTCATAATATGGTGTTTTTACAGAAACATACTGAATACATCCTTCAGACATCCTTAAAATATTCACAATAACACTTGTTTTTATCATAGCCATGTTACAACTTCCATAATGCTAAAATAGTAAATATGCTAAAACCATACCTCATTTTTATATTTAATAGAAGAAAATGTCCTTGATACCATGATGCCTGTTTGGGGAAAGGTGTGGGGAAAAAAAAAAAAAAAAAGAGAAAAATGGTTTTCAATAAACAGCTTTTAAAATATGAACTCTAACCTGTTGCTATCAACCAAAGACACCAAGCATCAACTTAAAGTAGTATTTGCTTTGTTCTTTTCTTAGTCATTGTGCCATTTTTTCAAACATACAAAGCAATGATGGAGCTTTTATTTAAAAAATGTATACGATCCAATTGCATTCCCTATTGCTTACCTGTCTCAGAAGAGCTTCTTTGCTGTTTATGTTTAAGCAAACCCTCCATGACATCCTGAATTCTCCAGAGCTCCTTCTGAATCTGAGCACGCTGTATCCCTGCTGATTCAGTCTGTCAGCAAACAAAAGCATATATGGCCACCACATCAGAACACATGGCATGTGGAAAAAAAAAAAAAAGAGAAAACCTTTCTCTCTCTTTAGACTACACTGCATGTCCTTTCACAGTGAAGGAAAATAAAATGCAGCAATGACAGACCTTCTCCCATAAAGCATTCAAATATTGTCTGGAACAGAAAGTAAAAGATTGTCTAATTTCCTAATGTCTCACTCAATTTGAGAGCAATCTGCTAATTCAAACTTCACTTCAAGAACAGAATTTCATCTATGGTGTCCAAAGAAAATGCAGGTAGACTTTGCACAGGGGACCCACATACAGCCATGGAAAAGGAACCATCACTTCCTACCCCAAAACGGGTGGAGATGGACACAGTGTTTGCATATAAATGTATTTACATGCACACTGTGCACCAATCAATGCAAGTTTTCCAGATTTTGGGCTTCTTTGCAATTTCTTTTGTAGCTGAACAGAAAATCAACCCCTGGAGCAAAGATCCTGCAGAGCAGAGCACACCCATGTGCCCATCCCGGATCACCTGTGCACACCTGCATGTCCTTATCTCTGGGAGTGTGCCACGGAGAGCCCTCTCTGGAATTCAGCACCAGCTCCTGACTACTAAAATACAGCAGAACTTTTGGTTTGTAAGCCCTGAAGCAACACCTACAGCATTTCCTGTAATAGTTTCTTTTGATAAAATGATTTAATTTTAAAATATTCAGTTAAATGGAAGGATTTGTGTGAAGATGTGTTATGACTGTCAGAGCAACTAAGGTGTGAGAAAACCACCCCATTTCAAACCTGCTCACTGAAACAAAAAAAAGGAAAGGAAGCTTCCAGACAAAGGAATACCAGTGTTACAATGTGAAAAAAAAAAAAAAAAAAGAAAAAAAAAAAAACCTGAAGATTTCTTCAAAACTTACCGGGTAAAGAAATTAAAAGTTTGTAAGTTACTTCACCATTTCACCATTTGTCCCCCTTTTTCCATTTGAACAGTTTTAAAACTCATAGGAAGTGCAAGTGAATTGAGTGTATTTAAGATCTTTGGCACACCTGAATTTCTCCAAGCCGATCGAGCTGCTCCTGCATGTGGTTCCTTGTTACAGTTACATCATACTCCAATTTATCATATTCTCTCCAAGCTCTTTCCAGTTCCTAAGTATATAACAAATGTAAAGAATTACTGATTTTTCCAGTGGCAGGAAACTTCAGAAAGTAACACATAAATAAGACATCAGCAATAAATAAACAGATACATAATTTAGAGAATGCAATGTTTGAACAGCTTTTTGATTTTCTAATGATACTGAATGAATTCAAACAAACTAACAAAAAAGATAGGCAAGGGCAAATTCTTCAGAAAATGCCTTTATAGTCAGCAGGCATGTGGATCTTAAGCTGTCTTTCCAGTGAGGCAGAAAAGCCACAAAAATGGATGCAAATTTGTCTCTTTTATCAGCCAGAATACACATGTGTGAGTGCACAGCATGTGTGTGCACGGGCAGTGCATTATGCAGGGGAAATGCAGCTCATCCAGCCCTGCCTGCAAGGCTGCCAACACACCACTGCTCTGCACATGTGCAAACACCACAAGGAAAAGGTGAAAAAAAAAATGATTCTTCTTTGAGGTCAGCCCCACTGTCTCACTTTTGCAGCCTACATCAAGCAATTTATTAATTTAGAATAAATTGAAAAGTTAATGAGGGAAAGCGCGTCTGGAGGATTTCCTTTCCCCTGGTTCCCTTTGCTGTGTCCAACCAATTCCTGCTACAAGGCAGTCCAACACCCAGACTACAACCAGGATTTCAGGGCTGACATCCTGTCAGTTTTTACCACAGCCACCCCCTGGAATTTGACACCTTTTTGGAAATATCTCTAAGTAGGCAAAAATGATTCACTGCCATCACAAAGTAGAAAAGGACAGTAAACAGCAATTTCCTCCCTATCCCTTTTATTAAAAAAAAAACACTTTTGGAAGTGAAGAATTTAGAATTTAAAAGATCCTTTAAAATGTAATGGCCCACTAGAGAGAGACTATGGCAGTCCTGCAGCTGCTTTTGCTTAAAATAAGTCGAATACAATGTGCTTCACATGAAATACCTTATTTGCATTATTTGTTATCAATTTATGTTATCAATTTCTTGATAACAAAGAAATTGTTATCAACTCTGTTATCAATTTCTCCTATTTCAAAGATCATAATTACCACACCAATTAAGACAGTATGCACCCATTCCTAGTAAAAAAAAATACAATTAGAGGAAGACCATTCGATGAATGCAGTGAAAAGATCACTTTCCATCCGCCTCTGACAAAAACACAAGCAAGTAAAAGACAACTGAGTTTTTGCTGGGATGCAGTTAAAAAAACCCCATGCAATTAGGAATATGAACACAATAATTTCACAGCTGATGAAGTTTTGCTGGGAAGAACGTGGTACTCACTGCAGTGGCTCGGGACACCTCCCGACAGGTGCTGAGCAGTCCGTTCTGCAAGTCATCTCTCTGCAGGATTACATTCTGTATGGCTGCTGGGTTATCTGCATTCATCTCTATCTCCTGGCTTGCTGATAGCAAAGCTTGCTCAAGCGTGTACTATTGTAATAAAAAGAATTATTTTTAATGCGCTGCATCATTGGGTTGATTTTCGTTTTATTTCAGCTATCAATGTTCTGATAATAAGCATGTGAAATAACATCCACTTTAGGTAATAAATGCAATTGTCCTACTTTCTCCTTGTGTAGCTGTTGAAGCTTCTCCTCCAGTGCTTGCACAACTTTATCCTGTTCACATAAACGGCTAAGCTTAGCCTGGGGTAGAACAGAAAATAACCACAATTAGCACTTTGTTATTTGCATCTTCAGTAACCAAAATCTAACTTGATCAAATCATTACACAAATCTACAGAAAATGTTATTAAAATAAGAATTCTAAAATTATGTATTCTAAAATTATGTAGGCATCAGTCTTGCATTTTCAAATTACTTAAGAAATCCTCCTAAGAAAATACAAAGTGCTATTATAACTTGAAGCAGCATGGCTCAAAACATATAATTTATGATTCTATAATTTATGATTCTATGATTCTACAGCTAAATCTTTACAACTTAATAGTAGGTATTAGATTCCATTTTAATTTACATATTGCTTAGTGTTACAAAGGCAATTTTACACATTCACAGTCTGTCCTGTGGTTTCTCAGGTCATTGTATCAAATAGTTAAAATTTCAGCTTAAAACGTAGTATTTCCTGCAAGTTAAAAGTTTATTACAGAGACATGTCCCTCTATATCATGACAGAATTTCTGTGGGCAATCATGTGGGGTTTCAAACCCTAAAGTGAGTTTCAAACCCAAAAGCCAAGAGGAAAATTTTTATCAAAAGAAAGAGACAAATACCAACATTTACAAGGAAGAAGGAATACAAATGACTTACATCAATGTCCAGCTCTTCAGTTCTATATTTGTATAGTGTACCCCTACATTCTTCTTGTGTTAACTATAAGGAAGAATAATATTGCCATAAAACAACTTAGTTGGACTGTGAAAATGAAAACTACTGTTCAGCTTACGAGTTTTAACACAGAAATCAGCTTTTGCTTGAAAGGTAAACCTGCCACATTGAACAATACATATTTAGCCAAAATACATTAATGAGGGTAACTAAATGGAATGTCAAGCAGACTGTCAGGAGAGCTGCAGTAAATTAACAGGCTGTTTCTAATGCAAACTGCAGTTTCAAAGATGTACAACTCAATCAAACATGGATTGTGGAGGAAGATGAAATTGCCAGAGTACAGCTGAATAATGATGCATCATTGTGCCTACGTTTTGTCATATGAATTCTTAACAGAGGGGCTCATTCTAGTCTGAATTAACCATTCTAGGCCCACTAGGGTCAGGTGTTTCATGAGCAGGGTGATCTGAGGTAAAGCCAAAACCAGAGCAGAACGACCCAAGTTTACAACAGATATATAAATATTTTGTTAGAGATACATCCAATAGGCACCACCACTTTTCATATGGATTTTTCAAATGGATTTCCTGCTTTTCAAAGGATTTCCTCCCCTCCAACAGAGCATCACTAGAAATGCCAAAAATGGAAGCTGTTCTTTTTTATCTTAGGCAAACTTGTCTCCTTGTGCTAGTCAGGATGCAAAGTACCTCAAACTACTTTCATACAGCTCCTCACATAAAGTTCTTAACTTTTTCAATCTGTTACTGACCAGGAGTAAGATTTTAAAATATCTTACAAGAGAAAAGGCAGCTCCCCATTCTAGAATGAACTGTCACACACAGTAACTACTTAATATCCTATACAGCAAGTAAGGGCACAACACTATCAACCTTCATATTCTACTTAATTAAAAAAATTGTGTGCATAGAGTCCCAACAGAATACTTTCCTTGCATGTGTCTGTCAGAATTAGGTAATTGTGACTTAATAGCACAAGGAAGACTACTGAGACACAAGTCCATGTTAAGGGACACTTATAAATAAAAGGACTAGGGAAGGGTTAATGAGACAAGCATTCCAAACATAAAATAAATCTTCAACACACTAAAGTGTTTCATTTCACGATATTATGTCCACATACCTCATGCAAATGTACCTGGTGACAATTTAGAAGCATGAATAGTGTATTAAAAACACAGAATAACTTTTTTTGAAATGGAAATTTCATGAAAATGAATGTTGGACTATGAAAAAAGCCACAGCACTTTTGCACCTCATGAATGTCACACAAATTAAGATAGCTATTTAAACTCCCACTATTGTAGAGTTGTGTTGTTTTACTGTTGATTTTATCACAATGAGAGAAAAATGAGGAATGGAAATATTTAAATAAAACTCATAAACATGGCCAAATGTCTGTAACTTACACAGGAAACCTACTTATATTTCACAACAGGAAGATTTTACAGAAGGAAGATTATCCCCTATTAGATAAATACACCTTTCCAAGTCACTGCTCAGCATTTTATGTGGCTTGGCTGGAAAAATACATTGCTTTTCCAAGCCAGTATTTTTCATACTTTTTTTAAAAAGAAAGACATTTATTTTTTTTGTCATTTCAACCTCAATTACAGCCGAGCTTAAAGCAGCTTGCCAATTCAGCATCCCTACCCCCGTGTACCTCTGAAAGGAATACATTTTAAGTACTCAGACAAGGAAAACAGTTTTTCAAAGAACACTATAGCTGTGCTAATTCTTCTTATGCAAATCCCATCACACTTTTCAAACTGCTGCTGACTCCTTGCTGCGGTCAGCAGCACCAGCTCCACTCAACAGGCACTGCTGCAGAGCCACCTCCTTCTAGCATTTCCACTGCACCACTTCGCCCAGGCTTAGCACAAAACCGCCCCAAATAAAATGAAAAACTTAATCCATCCCTGACAAAACAGCAGCTCTGCTTCTCAGAGCCCATCAGTAACCGTGCTGGGGCGAGAGGCGCGGGATGCTATCGCGTCCTGCTGGGGGGACGGGGGAGCTGAGGCACACAGAACACCACTACACATCTCAGGCAAGGTCAACAGCCTCCTATCCCTGGAAAACAACAGCCTCATAACCCTGGAAAACGCATTAGAAGAGCTCCAGTGACCAAGTTATCAAAATGTACTTCGTGTCACGTTCCACCAAGGCCTTTCTTGCCAAATCGCTCCTGCAAAGGCTCTGCCAGGGCAGGAACTCCAGAGCAAGAGTGCCATCTACTGAACCCGTGACAGGAGCTGCTGCTGGCCTCCCTTTGCCTGTTCAAACACACCAAATCCATTCCTCTGAGCGCCAAAAACCTCCCAGTCCTGAGGGAGCAGCACCCGGAGAGCTACCAATAGAAGTTGGCATTTTTCAAAGGCAAGCTGCGCACGCAGAGTTTGGCCAGATGCGTTATCTCGTGTGTGAAAAAGCAAAATGACCTTGACTGAACCTCCCTCTTAGCTTAGGAATCATCTGACATCATCTGCACAGTCCCCACCTCTGTCACACACCAGCACCAGATGATTCCCAGAAAGGAGAGATCCCCTGTGCTGGACACCCTGGGACACAAGTGGTTGAACTAATATTTAAGTAGTTGATATTAAAAACATTGAAGTGACAGCATTATTTCATGACTTTGTAAGCTATTTTCAGATTCCACCAACTGTTTTGATTCAATGAATGTCTTGGAGGATGTTTCACACCCCAAAAGCAGGCTATGCACTTCTGCAGGATGCTGCGCTTAGGAAATTAAAACAGGACAACCTAGGACATTTTGCTGTTGAGCACAAGATTAAAATCAAGACTTCCAAAAGGCTCTTTTGTTCACCTCTTGCTTTTTAAAATACTTCTTGCTATCAGGAAGCAGGGCAAATGGACATTTAGCCCCATTAAGCTGTGTTCTCCTCTAATTTTGAATTTTGTGACCTAAAACACGTCAAATACAAATTGAAAAGACAAGATTTTTAGCTTGAACAACATCACCTTGTATTTATAACACAACCTGAAACATCTCAAAATCTAACATGCATAGCAACTTAAATGTATGCAGCTCCTGTAACAATAATAATAAGCCATAAGCAAAACTTTCCTATCCTTACAGGAACAAAACACTTAAGGGCTATTTTTCTGTGTTTTTCATGTATTAAGAACAATTATCCACAGCAAGGGCTGGATGTTAGCTTGCTGCACTCAGCTTTTAATTTTTCCTCCTTAAGGGAACTCACACATATAAGAGGAATTGAGGAAAATTTTGCTTTTTAAAGTCAGCCTGTACTGCTTTAGGGAAAAAGATTGGAGAACAAGATTAACATTCCTCATATAGTACCAGAAAGAAGCACAAGACCCCAGACCAAGGTAGAAATGGGTCAAGTCTGTAAAAATCCTTTTTTTCCTGTCTGTACATATGGAATAATTTCCACGGCCTGTACTTGTGAATTTATAGCACAGTCTGCAGAGCAGAATGATGTAAGTCAAGTGATTTAAATAACTCTGAAGATGTAACAAATCACAAGCAAAAGTGCCTTATAAATAACACATTTGAAATAGTAGAGGTTTTTGCTGTTTTACTAAAGGACCATTAATCATTACAAAGAGGAAGCAAGACAAATTAAATACAAACTTTTCTTGCTTTCCTTTGCTTAACTCTAAATGAGCTCAGACTTAAAACTGAACTGAATAAACTGAAGCTGAGAAAGATCCTTTTCTTTATCCACAGGAATGGTTGCAGTCATCACAAATTATTTTAGCACCCTGACAACAAAACAAGTTTCAGTCACTTGCACAGAGGCTTCTCCCAATTATTTGCATGTCTTTAAAACTGCAGCAGGAAAGATGACTGTAAAACCAATTTATTTCATTTGAATAAGAAATTATACGTTGTTTAGACTTTAAAGAAAGTTGCCAGAATTTTAAACTGGTTAGTTTCGCATTACAAAAGTTTAGAAGACTATTTAGGCAGTGAAATTTTGAGTGTATTTTTAGCCTCTCCAGAAAGTCAGTTAATGGAACATCTCACACAGGAAACTTTATCCGTGGAAGCAGAAGATGTTGTGACTCCTCAGCTAAGGCAGCTTCTGGAGATGCCTTCAGCATGTCACAAACCCTCTGACCTGAAGAGACCACACCTCCAGTGGCAACAGGTTATTCAGTCCTCAGGACCTGTTAGAGTCACTGCTTTTCTGACAAGCATGCCAAAAAAGGCGTTTATTCAGTGTCAGATGTGCCTGCAAGGTGAAGGCAGACACTGCAGCTGGCAGCAGAGCTTGGCCAGGGCAGCACTGGGGAATTTATTGGTATCCCCAAAGGCAGGAGCAGGTTAGCCCAGGCACAGCTACACCTCAAATATGTCTATTTAATATTAGAAGCTTGGGCTAGTTTCCCCTGACATATCTAAAACACCTCTGATTTATTTGATTTCATTTATTTGTCTTACATACTCTTATCACAAAACTGACTTGCTTTAAAAAAATTCTAGCAGTCAGGCTCCTTAAAAAAATCATAACAAACCCCTTAAAATTTCATTTAGGGCTCCAAGGCACCTTACTTCTCTCATTTCCCTCCAAACAGTTCCTCCAGGTTCCAAATTAAAGCTCCTGTTTTGCATGTAGGAGCACAACTTGGATGGTCATGAAATCAGTCACTCACATCCCAACTTCCTGTGGAAAGCTGAGATTTTTTTTGGCAGCGTTTCTGGATCGGAAGCAAACTTACGATGTGGAGCTGACTTTAAAAAAAAATGAAGTATTGGATTGAGCTGCAGCATTTTTTAGAAACATGGCAGTAATAAACATCTGTTTTACACGGCAGAACATCTCCTTTTCTTCAAACTGTGCAACCTTTATGCATAATTTTGGCTCACAAGGGCAAAAATGGAAATGCAAGGGAACTGGCCAGATATTCCCTTGTGAGAACAACACCTTCACTGTAGCTGAGGGAAGAAACTTCTCAAACACCCCCTGACATGACAGGGGCTGCTCAGCTCAGCCCCAGCACCCGTGAGAGACCAAGGGAGAGGGATTGGCCATGCTCATAAGTTAGTGCAGGTCTCAACTCCCAGACAATATTTCCATTCACATTTCTGATTCTTCTTCCATCTTACCATTGCCAACCAGCACCAGATACTCTGTAAGAGTGCACAGTAAAGTCTGCTGTGACTTTATGAACAGACACTGCCTTTTGGATTTACAGGCCCCAGATCAAAGTAATTTTGATCCTTTCTTTCTTCAGTGGCTAAAGGCTCGGTAGGTGCAAACAAAAACTTGTAAATCCACTTCCTAGAACGAAACAAAATTGCCAGAAATGACCAGGTAAACACCGCTCACATGCTTTTGTAGTGGTCAAAAGAAAGAAGCACCTTTGAACACTAATTGCAGAGAATCATGCTAAGACAAATGTTGGAAGCTCACTGGAAGTTTCATGAGTTTTACTGGACACCTGCATAAAGCACCAGCTAATTAAATTGTCTAGACAGAGAGAAGTTATTCCAAAGTGTACACTGAATAGTAAACAACAAAAAGGCAGCGGAAGCCATGCCAACGATACTGCAGCGCTTCGGGAAGCATGGATGACTTGTGGGTTTCCAAAGCAAAGGAGAGAAACACCGATGTCATGAATAAATCTGAGGGACAACCAAAACTGTCACTAAGGAAAACTCTGGCAGATGATAAAGCAATTTCATTCACTCTCCAAGACCTTACTTGATGGTACAGTTGCGGTCTTAGCGCCGAGTTCTCAATCATAGTGTGAACCATGGTGATTAAAGGTTCATTCTCTTTCATCTATTTCAAATCAGGAGGAGCATACAGCAAACATCAGTTTACAGCATGGCTAGATTTGAAAGACGACACTGTAAAATATAGCCTCTACTTTAATTCTTTCTAATAATGCAGTAGATCACATTTTAACCCATGCTTTTTTATATATTCCATCATTCAGTAATACCAACATCTGAAAAGTTTAATAATATCAAACAAATATATCAAAAGTAACATAAAAGCTCAACACCAATGTAATATTTGTTCACCAACACTCTCCCTTTTTAAAAATAAAAAAGCTTAAAATAAGTTTGGCTTTGCGTGGTATTGAAACGAAAAGGATTATTGGATTTTGCAGCAGGAACACTCAAACCTTTATCAGAAAACCTTCCATATTATAGATTTAATAACTCAGTGTACATTAAAAAGATATAAGCATTCCCAGCCTGTGAATAGACTTATGTCCATGTATCACAAAATGCACTGATTTATATCCCTTGGAGCTTTGAATCACTGCCTGTTGCATTTATCCACCCCCATACACAGGACTGAAACTATTCTGGAACTGGCCAGACACTTTCTATAATGATTAGTATTTATTGCTATGCATGCAAATGTCAAAATCAGGTATTTTATTACACACTGCATATATTTAGGGTTTCAGAAAAGTGTGCAACACAGAAAAAAAACAAAGGAATTTTGGTCTTAAAAATGAGACTTTCCTAACAATAAGGGAAAAATTATGAAAACAGGTGGTTTCCTTCTCCAAAAGAGAAGGAAAACATTTGTGCATTTGATGCACAAGTCTCCTATTTTTGTGGGAAGCTTTAGGACCTGTTGGAAGCTTTAACAATACCTGCTTCAGGTATGGTTACACAAAGTGTGTGAAGAACATTTATGATTTTTCACTTTGTATTTATATGCACTCCCCGTGAATTTGCATAGCAAGGTTTTCTTTCATAGATGGAAATGCAACAGAATGAGTTTTCGACACCTTCTAGTATTTCTTGCCCAAAATTATTTAGGAAAAATCTAACTTTTACATTTGGAGGAGTATTTTTTTCATCTTATGGTAAACAATTTTTTCTTGTTGTAGACAGAGGACCTTTTTGTTGTTGTTGTTGTTGTTTTTTATCCATTGCAAAGTCTGACCAGCTGGTAAGTTATTCAGCCAATAAAAGGTACCTTAAGAAGCTTTTCATGCTCTGTTTGTTCAAACAGGCAAAAACCCCTAAACAAGCAGCCCCCCAGCATTTACTCCATCATCTCCAGTTTTCTGTAAACAGAAAACCAGAACTGACACAAGAAGTTTTTCTCCTTCTACATTAAAATTTTGTCCAGAGAGTGGGTGCATTCCAGAGAGTGGTGACACTAAGAGAGATCTCAATAAGGAGAAAAACAGTAAGACCCAAAGCCAAGCAATCAAACTACAGCCAACTGATAAATTAATAAAAAAAGTATTTCTGTGAGGCTCAAATATCTTATTAGGAACATACATGTTTGTATGCATTTTTTTTTAAAATCAGGATTTCAATCACTTTTTTGGGTTTTTAAGACAAAGGGAAGTTTTACTATCAAATTCAGAAGTGTACTAAAAGACTGGTGTGATGGAATTCTTGAACAAAAAGGTTCAAGTGGGACTTTCTGCCATGGCTATTTGTAAAAGAGAAAAAAGCATGTCTAGCTTTTACTTGGGGGGAAAAAACTCAACCTTATGTTATATTTTGGTTACTCTTTTTGCAATTCCTGAGTACAAATAAAATAAGGAGACAGCTGGCTTGCACTAGTAGCACACAAGAAGTGATTCTTAAAAATCTGATCATGCAGAAGACTGAGATCCTATTGAACTCAATGTCCCATGGTGGCAAACAAATCATCCTTCCCTAGGGCTGCTAGCTATGCCCAGAACTCCTGAAATTCCTAAAATGCACCTAAATCTCTCTCCCAACTCTGCAAACCTTGAGCCAGCAGAGTGGTTTAAAAAGAAAAGGGTTCTGGACAACCATTTTTTGGCTCTAAGACATGGAAGAAATCATACTGCTGGGTATCTGTGTGCCAAGTCTTTTCAGGCTTTTTTTGCCCCCTCTCTCTCTCTGAACTCCAACAACAACAACAAAAATTCTGAAAGCATAATACAAAACCATCAGAAAGTGTAAGGTGAGAATTTCTGAGCATGGCAGTACAAAAACAACGCATGATTTCCAAAAGGTGATTGAATATTCTTGATTCTTGACAAGAAAACCACCTAATCAGCAGCCAGCTTACTGCAGCAGAATGGAAGTTACCTTCCCTACACATGAACTTTAGTCTGCCTGAGAAGTCACCTGTGCAGCCTTGTAACAAATTTACTATTTATTGTTGTGTACAGTACTGAGCTCTTGGTGACCAAGAAGGTGAGATTTGACATTATTTACAGAGAAGGTGAGTTTTGACACTATTAAACACAAGTGGAAATACCTAATTTAAGTACCCAGGACATTTAAAATCCAGAGAGGGTAAGAGATTATGCACGCTGGTTACAGATGCTGGTAACAAGGAGGAAAGGCCTCAATTACACTGAAAGAGATTTTGATTCTTTGATGCTTTTAACATAAAGGGAAATTGATATTTGGCAAAGTATTCAAAAGCTGTAAATGTAATACCACCCCTAGAAGCAGTGGTACTCAAAGCAGAAAGACTTTCAGGGGGATTTATTTCCTACAGGTAAATGACATTATTATAAAACAAGACAAATGAGTATTCCAACCTGCTCTTCCATGATTTTGTGATTAAGGTAACCTATTTTAGACTTGATTTTTAAGCTGTAGTGATTCCTTGCCTCTCTGGTATAGCACAACTATAAGACTTACACACTTTCCTAAATTAATGCTTACCACATCACATTTCTAAATTTTATCTGGTGCAAGTGAAAGGAAAATAATTTTTACTATTTTGCATCTTGTACATAGACAATTCCCCCCATTTAATCCTGCCCATCATACTCACAAGTTTGGCTAACCAAGCAATAACAACAATTTTACACTTCACATCAACAGTTATCCTTTCTTGACAATGAATTACGCTGTTGAAGACAGAATCACTCCCTTATTCTAAAACATTATAGACTGGAAATATTTGAGTTGGATGAAATATTTTGGTCTAATTTAGCAAGCAGTGTGTCCCTACTGTTTTGGACCTGCTGCAGCCCCTTAAATAAAACAATAACGAGATGTTTGGAAATGCATTGCCATCAAACTGAATTGGTCACAATTCCCACCCTGTTTTCAAGAGGCAATAGGAAAATGAAGTCAACCAAGCCCATGTGAGAGTGTGTATTGTGTGTCTCTGTGCAGTAGAGGAACATATCAAATATAAAAGTTTTAACAGTTGGTTTTAAGTGTAAGGCTCACAGGTTTCAATATAACACAGATTCTTACAAAAAAGTGATTTTTATCTTTTTAACCAGTGGTCATCCAGTTGCTTATTTTAGTTCTAAGCACTTACGACTTATGTCTTTTGTAACTGCTAGCAAAAGAAAAAAAAAACAACCTACTTCAAAACTTGTCAAACACAACTGGTGTAGAATCCCATTTGGTCATGCAACAAGGCCAGAAAGAGAGGTATTGCAATTCTTCACTTGGCAGTCAATTAAGTTAGTGAAATATGTACCCTAGTGAAGAACTGAACCCTCACTCATTAAGATACCAGAAACTGGAAAGAATTAAAATCTTATTTTTATATAAACCCTTCAGAATGAACTGAGACAAATGAGAAAAGTAGACATGTTATGATTTGTTTAAAATATTTCTTCATGTTTGACCGCCTCCTCATTTAATGTTCTGTAGAAACATCTAACTCTTTTTAATTTGAAAAACCTAAATTCTTAGAAGTACTCGTCTTTTATAAATTGCATGTGTGTCATATGAGCTTGGAAACATATTAGGACTGGTTAAAGAAGGTAAAATGCTACAGTTAGTGTTATTATGAAAAGGAAATTAGGAACATAATTTAGAACAGAAAAATGAATTGGTGATTGGCTACTGTTTTCTGACAGATTTTAAATTGAGGGATTCTTTTTCCCCGTAAGAGCTCAAATTTGTCATCAATTGAGATATTCTATGCTGTGGGCATCATCCAACTTCACAAAAAGCAGTGAAAATCCTTCTCCCCAAATATTTCCAGCTTTGACAGGAGCAGGCAAAAAGCATTACGAAATACAAACGCACAAGAAAATTGCAAATCCCACCTGGTGATCCAAATATATGGCATTCCTTTGAAGGTGATGTGAAAGAATCTCATTCTAGTAGGCAGCAGTCAGAGGGGAAAAGGAAAGGGACAGAAGGTGCAGAATGCATGAAAAGAGCTTGAAAGGATGTAAACTAGACAGTGATAGACAATTCTGTTTTATGGAGAAATGCAATGCTGTTTATAGTGAACTGTTAACAAGTTTTGAGCCCAAAAGAAATGATGGAAGTTTGCTATGAATCAGACCATGAACCACTACATTTCATACTGGTTTACACATAAAACACAGTAAGCTTATGTCAATGTCCACTACACAGGCAACTATGAACCCTTTGATAAATCCATGTTTTAAACACGTCCTGCTTTTTGTGGACATATCACAAATAAGATGGAATCTGATTGGAGGCTGTAAAAACAGCAGATTAATCTCAATCTATCGCGACTGATTTTGTTCGTAATACAAAATAATAGATTAAAACCATTTCATTTTAAACCTGAATGTCCTGGGGTGACTTTATTAGCTCAGAACTCCAGAACTTTAAAATATTCCCAGGTAATTCTGACTTGGCTTATTTCAAAAAACGAAAACCTCAAAGGGTTGATAGCAGCGCACCGCGCACACAAAGGATTAACGTCACTCCGTTCTACTGGCACGGGAGCCAGGGAATTTTGCACAAAGCAAACCTGGGTTAATGAGTGACTGTGGGTTAGTGAGGATGGAGCAGGACACACATTGCTGGATGGCTGACCTTTGGGCTGCTGGCCTCAAGCTTTAGCTGCATGAGCTGTGCTAGTGTGTGCTCCCGGATACTACTCAGCTCCGCCTGCTGCCGTCTCAGCTTTATGAGCAGCAGAGTCAGCTCCTCCGGCTGAAGGAGTGCAGTGTGAGAAGCCAAAGAGCAGAGAAAAGGTTAATTGGTACCCCAAACAACACCTCAGTAAAATAAGGCGCGCCTCATAAAAGGTTTGCTTCTAAAAAGTAAAGTAAGGTGCATCTCCCGAGTGCCGTGCAGAAACTCTGGCAGTGACACAACACAAGAGAAAACATTTCCCCCAGTTAAACACTTCCAAATATAAAATGAAGGGTCAGCCTTCGACTGCTCAAACCAGTAAATGCCATAAAAGCCAAACATTCTGTATTGAGGACAAAAACAATTGAGGATTTTGCAGGGCAAAGTCTGTGCAGTCCTCAAATTTTCCTGACACGCATATAAAACTGGTGATATTGACCTGAGTCAGGGGGAGACAATTCCAGCCCTTAGGATGTTGTTACCTGTATGTGGGCAGCCATTTGAGCTTGGTGAAAGAATCAAAACATGCCCTCAAGAAAATGTAGTTTTTAAAATAATTCTTCGGGTAATTATTTAAAATAATTCTTCAAAAATACTTGTCAAAACTGAGAGGAAAAAATTATGACAATCCTATGTTTACTGAACTACCTCAGAAATAATCATCTTTCACAAAATAAATAATGACAAAAAGAATTTTCCATCCCAGCTTCCACAGGTCTGAGGCCTCCAGTTATTTTATTGCTTTAATTTTATGACTAAGCTGTACAATGCAGCCTTAGGAAAGGATGAAGAATAGCATTTAAGACTTATTATAGATTATATGTATTATGGAAATAAAGTCCAACTCCAGTGGGTATTTGTCAGGTAATTCCACACTGATCAGCTTAGGTCAGTTTGGGAAACTCTACCTGAACCATTTCTATTAGCAATACTTCAAAGAAAACAAACCACTGAACACCACAAGCATTTTTGTTACATTCCTCTTTGCTTCTGTTTCTTACACTTCTCCAGAAGTCAGCCTAACAAGAGGTTAAATATTCAGCCAACATTTGGATTTTCTCACAAGCCCTGTGAGTTAAACAAAGCCCAAACACAAAAAGCTCCTAAAACCCTGCTTGCCCTCTCCCACAGCCACAGAACTTCCCCAAAGGAAAGCAGTAAAGAGCTCCAAGAACCCCACATTAAAAATGCTGAAAGTGAATACCAGTTTCTCAGAATAAAGAGGAAAAATCCCTGAGAAGCAGCATGGCACCAGCATTTCTGTGAGTTCAGCCCACAAGAGGGAGCAAGGGATTTCCACATAGCTTCAGTTGGCAAAACCATTTGCTTTTGAGGGAAAACCAACACCAAACCCAAATTGTCTAATGGCAGTTTTCCTTCTTACAGCTCTCCTTCAATACCTGGATTTAAAATACTGAATTCCAGAGAGCAAGAATCTAGACTGCTATACAAGGCATTTTGGAATTTTCTCCAAAAACAGGCAACAGTGCTTTCAGCCTGGAAAGTAGCATCCACTCAAAGCTCAGGAAGTCTCATTTTTAGGAATGTGAGGACAAAAAGTAGCATCTTCAAGCAAAAGGAGCAATGATCCACTTTTTGAAGATCAAAACTCCTTTTGGTGCATTCTGAAAAAGCCCAATTTTAGTGCATTAGGAATAACTTATTTCATGGCACTCCAACCCAAACTTTTTTCCACAGAGGAGCCCTTAGAACCCAACTTCTGCTCCTCTCTAGACTTTCATAAAGTTGCTGCAGGTGCTGTGCATTTGATGCAGGTCTTGGGACTCTTGAAACACCAGCTTTTCTCAGGGTTTCCTACAGGTTTCCTCCTCTGGCCCTGCACTGTTCTGCTGTGGATTTCTGGTTGGTTTCCTGGACCTGCTTGTCCCTCTGGAGATCAGCCCAGCAGAGCTGAGGGGACCATGAAACCCAAGAAATGTCTGGAAGGCTGCAGCTGCCAAAGACCAACCCCAAAAGTCACTGAAGGTGCCAGAAATCTGTGCTGGGAAGTGCAGGAAACAGGGCTCGAGGCTGCCCACAGTAGGATCCAAAAACAAAATAAAAAAAAAAATCAAATCTGTTTTCTTAATTCATAACTCTCTCAATCGGTATTTTTGGATGGACAGAGAGATGACAAAAAAAGGAGACAAAAACTGGTAAAGAAGTGACATAAATTTAGGGCAATTTTTTGGCTGAGAGTCATGTTTCAATTAGGAAAGTGGAGAATATTCACCAACATCACTTTGATGAAATATCTTCAATGAGAACTTCATCTCTACTACAGCACAGTGTCAGAAAGGACATCCTTTTATAAAACACTCTTTTACATTTCCAAAAAAGCCAAACTTGACTTCCAGGATTTTCTAAATAATTAATTGAGAAATAAGTGTTCTGTGCTGTAGCCTACCCTCTCCCAGGAATTTCAGCAATGTATCAACACTGATTAAAAAATAATAAATCTGTATTTCCCAAAGAAAACCTTGACTCAGCAGCTACAGATATTCTTAGAATTCTGTGGAATCACAGAGTACTTCTTCCCCTGATAATTTAAATAAAGGTTACATTTAAAGCAAGCTTTAATTAGAATAAAATTTCTATGTTGCCTCTTCATACTTAAAGGTTTATTCTTAAAAAACCCCTGATGTACCAAATAAAAATCCAACTCACTGTTTTGCCTTGGAGGCTCTGAGGAGTAACAGGCTGTAAACCCAGCCCTGCTGGCATCGACCTTCTGTCAGGCACAAAGACATGCTGCACAAAAAAAAAAAAAAAATAGCACAGTGTGATCCACAGTTATTTCTAAAGACTCAAAAACTTTAAATGCTAACACAAAAAGTCAAGCCAGCTTCCCCCTCATGAAAATTTGCTGTGATTTGTGCCAGTCATGCTCCCCACTGATCTACTACCTAGGTTACTCAAGTAGTCTGTCTCTAAATGCTAGAAATACCCCAAATTTCATATTTCATGTAATTAACAGTTCTCCTTCAGTGCTGACCAAAAGCAAGGTCTACCCACAAATCACATTTATTTCTGATAATACACCAAGAGACTGCCACTACAGCTCTATTTCCAAAACACAAACAATATAACCAGTAATATTCCCCAAAGTGGATGCTTATCACTTAGATGTACATAATTATCACCTAAATGCATGTTAAATAAATGTAGGCATTTATTGTGGTTTTTGTAGTTTTTAAATGTAGCTAAGCACATTGAAAAATATTAAATATTCACAAATATTAAATGTTTTGAAGCAATTCTAAAGGAAGCCTGGAAACAACAGACAGTTTTAGCACAAAAAGGACCACAGCCATGGCAAGATACCTTAGAAAAGTACATCTACAATGATTTGTGAGAAAAAAAAAAAAAAAAATTGAGGACTTATTTCCTTTACCAGTGTTTCAAATGGAACCCATATGACACAGTTCATTTAAGGACAGCTGAACAACAGCAATTTGGGGAGGTAGTCTTTTTCTGTCTTACTGGATTCTCAAAATATTAGGGGCAGATTGCTAGATAAAGTAAATTCTGTGGGTGTAGTGCAGCATTCTTGGGGCTGTGGATGTCATTTCTATTTCAAGAATAATAGGGAAAGTCTTGGAATAGTAAGGAAAGACACAAAACAGGACAGAAAACTAGTTGATGTGAAAAGAAATAAGAAATAAAATTTTCAAGCTGCAGGGTGATTACTTTAGAGTAGGCAATGCCATTTAAACATATACAAGCAGTCAATTCAAAACCACGTGCTGTAAAAAATAGAAAGTTTTGGCATCTGCTCACAACGTTCTCATTCCTGAATTCTCAAACCATGCCTTCACTGACTTCTCAAACTGAAACAGTCACACACAAGGGGATTCATGCAAATGGGCATGTGGATGTGAGCACTATTGTTTTATGTTTTCCAGGTGCTCCAATACCACCTTTGCCTCATCCTTTGAGGCGAGAAAGGATCAGCAGAACAAAACCAAAAGCCACAACAAAATCCCAGCTCTTCTTTTTCAGTCCTTTTCTCTTGGGAAGCAGTTCAGATGAGCATCCTCTGCCTGCCAGAGTGACCTGACTTAGGCAGACCATGCAGCTTCTCCTGAGCAGGGTGGCCACACAGCCCCAGCTTGAGGAGGATGCTTGGATAAATGCACACGTGCCTTGGGCTCCTGGACTCTAACACCACTCATAAAAGCATCCCTCTCTCCTCCTGGGGGGCTTTAACTTTCTTTAGTAGCCTTTTCTTCAAAGCAAGTCCACTTCACTATAAAATTGCTTGATGGGTAAAAAGACTTTCTTCATCTTTCCAGTTCCAACACACGAGGCAGCTCCTACAAATTCAGCCTTGTTCTCTGACCATTTGCTAAGTGGACATTAGTCTCCTTTCTGTCTTGTACACAATAAAGAGTATTTGAGCTCTTTTATGTCCTTCTCCAGATATTCTTTCTAACTCATCACTTGGGAGCAAGCTTACAAAAGGTAATGGCTTAAAAGGTAATAAATGCTAACAGGAATTCTGCAAATGTGAGTCCAGCCTGGGATGATGAGATTACAGTCTTGTAGCACATGAGAAATATATATTGATGACAAAAATTGATCTTCTTGTGGGTAAATGCTCCAGCCTATAACAACTGACATGTTATGAGGAACACTGCTCTAACTTCTCATGATAGAAGAATCACTGAATATTGGATAAATTCTAGAACCTTCTGTTTGGATGGCTATCTATGCAGAAGTGTAGCACTGTATAGGACAAATATTGGCTGTACAGCCCTGGAGAGGAAAATCCATCCCACCTCTGAACTTGGGACTGTGCTTAATGTGCAGAGATGGGACTGAGCTCTGGAGAGACACAGCGTGGCATTTTCAAATCACTGTCATAGATGGGTTTCAGGAGGATTTTGAGAATTGAAAAATAAAAAGCCAACCATTGGAAGCCACTGAAAAACCTAAGATCTCTATGTAGATGGGGTTTAGATGTCAAATTTACCCTACTGATTTCAAACAATCAGTCTTCTAATTACCCACCTCTTAAAGGCAGGGGTGTTTTTAAAGTTAATGGCAAAAGCTGGTTGTGTAACTAAATACAAACCAAACAGCATGAAAAAATCAAGGGAAACAGAAGGTTTGTATCAAAGACACTCAATACTAAATGAAATACTAGCATAAACTGTTCAACAAGGAACAAAAAAAAATCAGGAAGCAAAACATAGCTGACAGGACAAGCAATACAAACTCTGCAGCACTGACCCAGTGATATTTCTCAGATATTGAGAAGCATTGATTACTAAATTTCCAGAGCAGTTGAGACATAAAGGATGCCAAAGCAAAATTACTCCTTTGGTGACAGGGATCTAGAAACTTTAAAATCCAACACCTGATAATCACCTCTAAGTTGTTTAAATTACTTTAAGTTGTAGTTATAGATTTTTTTTTTACTCTGTATTAAAAAAAAAAAGACATCCAAGGAAAAAGTTTTTAGAAAAATGCTCAGGAGCATTTTACATCCAAGGGAAGGAGTAATTTTATTTTAATTATTTCCAATCTATTAAAACCCATGGTAACACAAGCATGCTGGATGCAGCACAGTGGCACATATGGCACCCAGGTTCACAATTCTTCATGCCTCCCTCCCAGTGCTCAAGCACCAAGGCTGGGTGCATTTAGACTGATCTTCAATGATCCCCCTAAGAGCTCAAAGGCATAAAAAGGAACTATACACTCGATTTGCTGCTGGAGCCCAAGGCTGCCAAACTTGTTGCTGAAGAACAGAAAGCAGCATCTGTAAAGAAACCTGGGATTTTGAGTCCTCTTGGTGCTAGAAAGGAATTAGAGTTCTCTACATGCATGAGGTATTCTGAATAATTTGCCGATCGACTCCTTATTTTTTTTAGAGGAAACATATTATCATATTAACAGTAATATCAGGACATGTTTTCATCTTGTAGTGTTTTAAAAAAACCACCTTTTTTACTACCTTCAGATTTTTCAGCCCTTTTTAAAACCAAACCTTTCTCCACGAAAACAGTGATGTAACAACATCCGTTATAGTAAAATATACTCCAGTACAACGTGTTTTCCAGATCAGATACATTCTATTCAAGAGCCCTGCAGATGAGAGTTTTAACTATTAAATGAAGCTTTTTTTACCTTTGTGTGATGTGTCCTGTGCCTGCGGTCGATGGTTACATCTCCCCTCTGCACGGGCGACGACACCTCCGAGCGGTACGTCCGCTGCGGGGAGTACCCCTGGAAACCCGCGATGGAGCCGTGCGAGGGGGACGTGGGAATGGAGTGCATGGTCTGGTCGGAGATGTTGATCATGGTTTTTGGGCTGCTCAGGGTGCTGTGCCTGCTGAGAGTGGTCTGCTTGTTGTAGAACTGGCGCTGCTGCCACTCGTAGAGCTGCCACATGGTGTCGTCGCGCATGGAGCGCCGCTTGTCCTCGGCGCTCGCGGGTCCCACGGCTCTGTCGTAGGGAGCCACGCTGCAGAGGCTCTCTGGACGTGTCTTGCTGTTCCTTGGCAGTGTCCTGTATCCCTCTGGGTACCGGGGCAGCACCTGGGCTCGATGGCTTGGCATGTTCCTCGGCAGCGTCTGGTAGGAGATGATGCTGGAACACAAGTTTTCTTTTATTAGCATTAATGTTACGGCAATAGGAAGGTGTTTGCTGGGTGTTGGGTTTATCCAGCTCTCACCCCTTAGAATACTTTGAATGGCATTTAAAAAACACTCAAGAAAATCAAGGCAACAGTTCAAGAATCAATGATTCCGACTGAATGCATTGTAGCAGCCAAAAGTGGATGCTTTCTCACTGATTAGCTCTTGCTGATATAATCCATATTTCATCTTTTTACCAGTTTGCCAGTCTAATACCCTACTGGACTGGCAAATGTGATTTCAAGTTTCGATCAAATCTTGGAACTTGTCTATATGCTGGATAGGTGAAAGTTTTTAAACCTTTAAAGTTCTACACTGTTTCCATATGCTTTCTATATTTTCATTTTAAATGTTCACTTTTTCAAAAGCGAAAAACAATCCTGTTGTTTCCCTACGAAAATCTTGAGCAATTACTATAGACATAAAAAAACCCCAGCAGCATAAAAAAACCCTTTTAAGAGCAGTCCATGGGAAAACTGCAGTAATTGTCTGAAGAAATTATATTTTGCAATTGTCAAGGACAAGCCATTCCGTATCAGCCATTCAAGTGAAACAACCAGCAATACATGTCTTTTTTTGATAATAATATTTTATTGCTTTTCAACTCAGATATGAATTCAAATGCTTATTTCCTTAATTTTTTTCCCCATTAAAAATCTGGAGTTCTACAGTCATTTAGCAACTTTCAGCATCAGCTGAAATAAAAATTTTCTATACTAAGGATTGATGCATGCCTAAGTATGACAAAGCACTTCTTGTTAATTTATTTCAGAGGACAAAATCTAGGTCATAAACACTGATTTATTCCTCCCTTATCTAAAATGCAAATGAGCACCTCTTAAAGCCTTTTGCTACAGAGCATGCATATGATTGATGCTTGCTTGTAGACAACAAAACCAGCCTCAAATTGGACCTGATTTAGCCATGAGAGGGCAGCAGCTTCCAGCTACACCCCACATTAATCCAAACTAAAATCCCTGCACCATGAAGCACCAGAACCTGGAGATGGTTTTGAATTACTTCAGTGCCACAAAAAAAAAAAAAAAAAAATTAAAGAAATTATGTAGATAAGATAAACTAGCATTATGCATGTGAGATCCTTATGGAACAACTATCAGGGAAATTGATGATGGTGAAACACACTTTTCTGAAAATAATTAAGCTGAGTATTTACGATCACCTGCAACATTTTGAAGATGAAAACTGCTATAAAGAGCTTTATGCACAAAATCTGCTACAGTTTCTGAAGCTTTTCAAGAATTACTGAAGAATTATCCCCACTTTGTTTTGGACAACTTCCCATTCTTAAAAAAAAATCACAAAAAGGGAAAAGGAATTCTAAGTCCTAGTCTTCTGTTGCCAAATCTGCTTAAATACCTCCAACTTTCTTTAGTAATATGCCATTAATGATAAGGCTTTTGTTCATCTCCATATTTAAAACCAACCAAACAAGATACTTTTGACCTCCATTTCTAACTTTCAGAATAGAATTGTAGCTTATATCCCACAGCAGCTACAGTACGGCCTGACATTTTCATGAATACATTTAGTAGCAAGACACACCTCACTCACTGAAGTTCCTCACACATTTTATTAGTTAAATGGGCAGTGTAATCCTGTTGGCACCTTTAAACATCCTGAACTTGCAAAAAATCTGCCTGAAGTTCTTACTGTGCAAAGACATCAATTTAAAATCTGCATGCAATTACTTGTATTCTGGAACATCTAGAAAGATAACATAATCCATCTTCAATTGGTAAACCATGAAAACTGTAAAAAGCTCAACCACCTCAATACTAAGCCATGTTTTACATAAGTCAATAAAATCAGAATAGATTCACCAATGTCCTGCTGATACTTGCAAAAATGTCATTCCAGTCAAACCCAAATCCCAACTCCAGACAGAACTGCAGCATCCAGCTGCCCTGCACACAAGGGGAGGCTGCTGCAGTTGGGTCTGAGGTTGCAAAGTACTTCTGCATCTGTCATCATAAATAGCTCCTTATAATCGCTCCCATATGAGAAGGAGTCTTCCACATGTGTTACAGACACCTTGAGAGGTTGTCTCTCGGGAGCAATAGTGGTTCTGGTGTCTGAGTTGGACTGTTTGGGTGTCTTAGGCTGGAAAGGGAAGATGTGCCCAGGGGTGTGTGCTCTATCACCATCTGTCAGAGCTGGGGTACTTCATTTGTAATTTCATTTTCCTAATAAAGAACTGTTACTCCTATTCCCACATCTTTGCCTGAGAGCCCCTTAATTTCAAAATTATAATAATTCAGAGGGAGGGGGTTTGCATTTTCCATTTCAAGGGAGGCTCCTGCCTTCCTTAGCAGACACCTGGCTTTCAAACCAACACATTTGGAAAGGAACTTTGCTGCTAGGCCTTCAAGGGCTCAGTGCTGCGAATATCCTCAGTGTTGTGAATATCCTCAGATTGAAGCCTCTAAACAGCCCTTCATCCTAATAAACACAAATACCAGCTGGCCCCAAATACAGAACTTCCATGTAGGAATCAAGAAAGGGTGGCAGAGTGAAGATGGAAACCTGCAGGCATTAATTATTTTGGACTAATCTTATATAGGCAGAGAGACAGGCTCACATCCTGAGATAGCAGCAACAAAAAACATCCCTTAGTACCAAACAACCCCTCTGTACTTTGTCACATTTGAGAAAGACCACTCAAGTGACCTACTTTTGTGAAAAACATTTTTTTTTCCCATAACTGACTTGTGCAAAATTCAATAAAAGGATACTGAAGTGGAATGTGTGCATTTATTATTCAAACCACATTTATTTTTGGTTTTTAAAAAGTTTGCTTTCCTTAAGGCAGCAGTTTATTCATGTGGCTTTTGCCAAACTCGATGTCTAGATCCATGGAAACAACAGATAACACCTTCAAGAATTAAAATCTACATTGTTGTCATTCTCATTACTTTTCTGGGCAATCAAACTACTGAGGAGTCAACCTGTTCCTCTAAAAAAATTAGCAGTTGTATAGTGAACCTTTTTCATTCTATACTGAGGACAGCTAAGAGATCCTTTTTTCTTTTATACATAGTCATTTAATTGAAAATCTTTGTTAACATTTTAGCATTAGTCCCAATTTTTTGTGCAGTCTGACACACCAGAGATACTCAGTTGGGTCCTCCATGATTTCTCTAATGCAGACACAATAATACAGATGCACTGGAAAGCAGCTTGGTGGAGAGTCAGCAACCTTCCCCCATTAAGTAAAGACTACTTTTTTCAAAAATTCAAGTTATGAGTTTTACAGGTCTTAAACAGCCTTAGGATCCTCTCACTCCAACCTTAAGCTTTAGCAAAAACCAGAGCTTTTTTTCTACTCTCATTCACCAACTTTGATTCTACTTAAATTTCTGTCTCCAGCCAGAAACCGGCACCCTGAACAAAAATAAAATTTTAAATTTAAATGAAGCCCCATTTAAAAGACATCACTATACACATTAGAAATTTGGATCATCATTCAAGGCTGTTTCCATGCATAGCAAAAAAGATAGCTCAAGGCAAATTCTCCTTTAGTTTGCTGCTTTTATGTAGAACTGCATTTGAAAGCATTTATATTATCAGTGTCACCCTTATGTAGGTAAACAAGTGTTCCCTATACTCAGGAATAAAATATTGTTAATTAGTAACATATTGTTAATAGCACTTCCCTCTATTTGATTCCCACTATGAAATCAGTTTTAGGGTTTTTATACTTGTTCACAACTGAAAAATTGCACATCTATTCTACTTTCTTCTGTTTGGTTGCAAGTTTTAAAGTCCAATTAAAAAAAATTAACTTCATCAAAGAGCCTTCTGAGTTCTCATTATGCAAGTTTGAATAATAAGATTAATGTCACAGCGTGCAAGTTCCTGTCTGTATTGCAAGCTCGAACTTGATCAAACTACTTATGATGAGCATTTCATGAAACACCACATTAACAATTCCTAATTATATGTAATGAAAGGCTAAAAGCAGTGAGGAAGTGTTCAACCTTGGCAAGTGGAAGCCAAGTTCATGGAAATGTTTCAAGATTTTGCAAAAACTGAGAAGCCCCCAGGTACATATCTCGAAACTTGTGGGGGAAACACATTTTCTCAACTTGGTTTCTCTTAAGCTAAGCTCCACTCTGCCATCCATCTATACACAAAATCCCTAATTTCCAGTCCTTCAAAGTTATCTCCTGTGATAGCATCTCCATACTTCCTATCAAATGTAATATTAAAAACCATTTACATTTTCCTGCTAGAGCTGCTAGTCTGCAAGGCAGCCTGGAAGCAACATCCCTACACTTCTGTCAGAGAAATTGCTATTGGCATGACATTCAATATTGCCAATCATTCACACATCATTTTAAAGCTTCATGAATAAGCACTAGAGCTCAATATTAGAACTGCCTGATAGCTAATTTCATGAGAAGAGAAGCTTTAAGCATCAAGTTAGATTCTGTGTCTTATTTTTAGATAAATCTTGTCTCTCTCTCTCTTCATTTAAAGCTGGTTTAAAGCTTAAAAGCTCCCAGGAATATTTTTTAAAAAAGAATTTCAAATAAAATATTATTATAAGAATTTGTGAGCAAAAAATGCAGAAGAGAGGGCAATTTCAAGAACAGATTTTTATGACTGATGACCTATTTTCCCTGCTAGGACAGGGAAATTTCTAACACCCAAAAAGTGTTTGTGGCTATTTTTATTTGAGCTATTACTATACTTTAATTTATTACTCATTATGCAAGTTTGAATAATAAGATTAATGTCACAGCGTGCAAGTTCCTGTCTGTATTGCAAGCTCGAACTTGATCAAACTACTTATGATGAGCATTTCATGAAACACCACATTAACAATTCCTAATTATATGTAATGAAAGGCTAAAAGCAGTGAGGAAGTGTTCAACCTTGGCAAGTGGAAGCCAAGTTCATGGAAATGTTTCAAGATTTTGCAAAAACTGAGAAGCCCCCAGGTACATATCTCGAAACTTGTGGGGGAAACACATTTTCTCAACTTGGTTTCTCTTAAGCTCTGCTCTGCCATCCATGTATACACAAAATCCCTAATTTCCAGTCCTTCAAAGTTATCTCCTGTGATAGCATCTCCATACTTCCTATCAAATGTAATATTAAAAACCATTTACATTTTCCTGCTAGAGCTGCTAGTCTGCAAGGCAGCCTGGAAGCAACATCCCTACACTTCTGTCAGAGAAATTGCTATTGGCATGACATTCAATATTGCCAATCATTCACACATCATTTTAAAGCTTCATGAATAAGCACTAGAGCTCAATATTAGAACTGCCTGATAGCTAATTTCATGAGAAGAGAAGCTTTAAGCATCAAGTTAGATTCTGTGTCTTATTTTTAGATAAATCTTGTCTCTCTCTCTCTTCATTTAAAGCTGGTTTAAAGCTTAAAAGCTCCCAGGAATATTTTTTAAAAAAGAATTTCAAATAAAATATTATTATAAGAATTTGTGAGCAAAAAATGCAGAAGAGAGGGCAATTTCAAGAACAGATTTTTATGACTGATGACCTATTTTCCCTGCTAGGACAGGGAAATTTCTAACACCCAAAAAGTGTTTGTGGCTATTTTTATTTGAGCTATTACTATACTTTAATTTATTATTAATAATAAATTAAATGCTAATAAAATAAACTTTCACACATCTGTTCTGAGAAGTTCTCAAATGCAGAAGAGAGGGCAATTTCAAGAAGAGATTTTAAGTGGAAAAGAATTTTTGTGAGTGATGACACCCTCTCCCTGCTAGGACAGGGAAATTTCTAATACCCAAAAAGGGTTAATGGCCATTTTTATTTATTGAGTTATTAATATACTTTAACTTATTAATCACCATTCAAATGCTTATAAAAGAACATCTGTTCTGAGAAATCCTCAAATGCAGAAGTGAGGGCAATTTCAAGAACAGATTTTAAGTGGAAAAAGAATTTTTGTGAGTGATGACACCTTCGCCCTGCTAGGACAGGGAAATGCCTAACACCCAAAAAGGATTTATGGCCATTGTTATTTATAATTAATATACTTTAGTTTATTAATAACCACTCAAATTCTAATAAAAGAAACTTTCATACATCTGTTCTGAAAAGTCCTCAAATGCAGAAGTGAGGGCAATTTCAAGAACAGATTTTAAGTGGAAAAAGAATTTCTATGAGTGATGACACCTTCGCCCTGCTAGGACAGGGAAATGCCCAACACCCAAAAAGGGTTAATGGCCATTTTTATTTACTGAGTTATTAATATACTTTAATTTATGAATAACCAAATGCTAATAAAAGAACATCTGTTCTGAAAAGTCCTCAAATGCAGAAGTGAGGGCAATTTCAAGAACAGATTTTAAGCGGAAAAAGAATTTTTGTGAGTGATGACACCTTCGCCCTGCTAGTACAGGGAAATGCCCAACACCCAAAAAAGGTTTATGGCCATTTTTATTTATTATTAATACACTTTAGTTTATTAATAACCATTCAAATTCTAATAAAATTAGACTTCTCTCTGTTCTGAGAAGTCACCCAGGCATTTCCTACAGAGAATGAAGACTGCGATTATATAACACAGATCTAGAACTAAAGAAGCTAACCAGGGTACAAATGTATTATTTATTAGACAGTCTAAAAATAAAATTACCCAGTACTCACCCTCTTGTTTCCTCCTCCTGTCCCTTCCCCCTCTGGATTTTGATCCACTGCTCCAGCTGCAGCATGGAGTTGGTTCTCTGCATGACCCGCTCGGACTCCGCGTGCGCCGGCACCGCGTTGTGATGGGCTCCATCCCCGGCATCCGCCAGCACCACTCCCACGGATTTGCTCTCAGATCCATTCAAATGCACAGGCCTGAAGTGCCCACCTGGAATTGTGCTTATGGGCAAAGTCCTGTACTCGGATCCCAAAGGGTTCAGCTTCACACTGTTAATTTTTGTTAATGGTTTGTCCTGCCCGACTTTCTGGAATCCGTATTTTTCAGCTTCCAAAGCTTTCTTCTCCTCGTTTTTGTTCACTTCTTTGTTTCTCTGGTTGTTTTGTGCCTCTGGCTTAATTAGCACCCGATGGTTTGAAATGTTATTTGCTTCTCGAGGTGATGTATTTTCAACAGTGAACTTCTCTATTCTGGAAGGGAACATATGACAAGTTATAATACCAAAAAACCATTCCTTACAAATAGTAATAAAAACCTGGAAGCTATTTCAGCAAACCCCTGACTGTATTTTACAACAATATCTTGACTTTTAGAGAAAAAAATCAGGATTTTTTTCACAATAATCAAGGACAGGCTGGAGGGTTTTGTGGCTGTTGTTTTGGTTTTCTTTTTCTTTTGTTTTCAATTTTGTTTGGGGATTGGTGGTAGTGCTTGATGGGTTTGGTTTTTGGCTGGTTGATTTGGGGTTTTTCTGGTTGGCAAGTGTGATTATTGTTTCCTTTTACAGTTTTCTCTTTATGTGCTGTTTTAAAAACAATTAAAACATGAGGGTATTTTTTTTTTTAGTTCAACAGTCCATTAACCCCCTAGAAAACATTTGCACAACAGGAAATAAAGCCAGAGCCTGAAAAAAGTGGATGTTCAGCTCCTGGAGGGCTGAAAATTCAAAGGGTGAAAATATTCAGTGGCCTTCCAAGAGCTACAGCTTCCAAATGTCAACGGCCTGAAATTCAGATGGTTTTCAAAGTCAGCTTGTGATTCACAATCCTGCTGTATTTAGCATATAATGAGCTCCTTTCAAGAAAGCAAATGACTTTTCATGGTCATTGGTACCAATTAGGTTTCTCTGGTATGTTATCACTTTGGCTGGCATACATTTTGCAGAAAATGACTGTGGCTTTTTCTAATTTTAAAGGGGAAGAGAGCTGCTGACTTAAGGAACTGTACCACAAAAAATAATGGTATTTTTGGAATTGCTACTGCTTTACAGTATTTACCCAAGTACTCAATGTGTGCAGTTCTATTAGTGATCTTCTTTTTAAAATTTCAAAATGTCAAGAGGTTCTATCTTTTGCCATTGTGGGAGGACCTGAATTTCAATTCCAGCTCAAAAAGTGACTTTTGGGTTTAGTTCACTAGAAAAATAACCCCACCACTTTAAAATGTTTTGCTCTACATTTTTTTGGTATGGGAGGAAAGAAGAGGAAGAGATACAATTTCTTAAGATTACATCTCTGTATAAAACCAAACTAAGAACAACACTTTATTTTAAGAGGATGTTGAATTAACTTTTCGTTTTGTTTTGCATCTTTTTTTTAAAAAATGCATTATTCATCTTTATAACTGTGTCCAGTTTGAGTGTCTGTAAGGAGTCCATCACACACACAATTTACCAGGAGCACAAGAAGACTGACTGCACACACAGCTCTAAGCATTATTGCTTACCCCATCGTGTAAAAAAGCCATTTATTTTTCCCCCACAAGATCTTAAATCACTCCCAAGACCAAATATTTGTGCCTAAGTTCCTTCTCAAGGTTATGGAAAAGAAAAGGATCACCTCTCCTCACTCCCACCTCAAAACTGCACTACCCAGTGTTCCACCAGAAACCAAAGGATTTTCCCAACAGGAATGTGAATGAAAAGCTCCATTTCCCACAATTACCAAGTAAAAAAAGGGTGTTAAGATTTCAGTTTTCAGCACTCTGGAGTTTACAAATGAATATAAAGACTACCTCGCAAATAATCCTGAATGGGGGCTTCAATATTTGCAGCATGTCTCAACAGCACCACCTACCCCATTATATAATATTAAACTTATTATAAATCTTTCTCAGGTGGCTTTAGAGCAGAGGAAAAGGTGGAAAATCCACGGTGGAGAGGGAGAGTGGCATCTCCAGGACACTCATCATATGAGTGGCAAAGTCAAGCCTTGGCACTGTGCTTGATTCACACTCTCATACTTTCCACTGTGTTTTAATTAAAAACCAGCAACTCCCAAAATCACAGAATTGTTTTTCCATGCAGCCTCATGCTGTATCCCTCATTACTATGGTTATACAGAGCCAAACATTTACATTTTACACTCTCTGGGATGGTGTAGAGGCTGAAGGAGTGACATTTAAACAGCCTGCTGGGCTCTCTCAACTTGGTGAAATCATATCAGCCAACTCTGAGTGAGCAAGGGATCTCTTTCCACACTGAAGTATCCATATGGGAAAAAAATTATCAGAAACAAATGTAAGAAACATAAATCCATATGTATATTTGGCTCCATATTTATAGCTAGCTCTCAAAGACATATTCAACAAAGCTTGCAGGCTGTTTGAGGATGGGATAGGGATAGAGGAAGAGAATGAGCATTGAACATGGGTCTTTCAGCATATGCTGAATGCAATTTATATATTTCTGCAACCAAAAAGGAATCATATGTACAATAGGCAGTACAGTAGAAGCACTATTTTATGCTGGTTTATATAAAGAAATAATTCTGAAAGGGTTGGAGAGGGGGGAGCATGTGATTAATGATCAGATGGACACGAGGACTGTGATTTAACAAAGCAAGGCAGAGGCATTTGAAAAGGAAAAGCCATCTTTTCCAAGCACACTGACGTCAGCCAGCCCCCACTGTGGATGTCTCTATGCTAACAAGTGCTTTTTTGGCAGCCTGGCTTATGCTGCTCAGGGAAAGTAACTACACCAGGAGGGGAAAAAAGCAATCTTTTCTTAGTACATGCTGCATCACTGAGAAGAAACAAAGGCTGCAGCACACAAGCTGACAGTGAAAGGACAGAAAAATGGCACTCAAACCTGGGAGAGCAGAGAAGCAGCATTTAGGGTAAAATGGTAAATCAGTGTGGTGGTGGACACTACCATCTGCAAACACAGGCAAGCACCCAGAGAGGGTGTCTGAGATCATATCTGGAGTCATAAACTTCAACAGCTCCTCTCTGACTAAAGTACTTGGTTTAATTATTTTAATAGGTCTCTCAATGAATGTACTATCTAGGTAAAATCAAAACTGTTTAGAAAGGAGTAATTACAATTAAGTCAATAGGACCAAATACTGTTTGTCCTTCCCTGCAGCTAAACATCAAAAGGGAGTATTTCTGCTGCTAATAGAGACCAGTTCTAAGAGAAATGGGTACGTTTTTGCTTTCTCACTTCAGTATCTCATTTGTGGTTTGTGTGGCTAACTATGTGTGGAAAATAAGAGAGTAGTTTATGAAAAACTTGCCAACACCCATTCCCTCCCACCAACTCAATGTTTGAAATATTCCTTTTATCTTTATCCTTTCCGTGGAACTCACATCTCCAGAAAAACAGACACAAAAAATGAGCTAAAAGTATTTAAAAGATTTGGTTTAACAGACTGTTGGATTTGATTTCCAGAGTACCCTAAGCAGTACTCTGGAAATAGCTTGATTGAAAACCCATATAATCAGACCTTGATTTCTAGGTCTGAAGAATTATACTGTGAAAACCTCTTGATTTATCATTGGGCATTTTATATTAACAGGCAATTACAAGTGGCCCAACATCAGTTTACATGAATATTTAAGGAAGCAAGTTCTTAATTACTCATTTTTTGTATTCCAAGTATCTAGTCTGTTAGAAAACTGTATTCAGTGCAATGTCAGAACTTCTAAAAAAACAGAACTCAGTAACAAAAGCACTGCCAAATTTGACTGAACCAAAACCATTTATGCTTAAGCTCCATCTATGCCAAACTTCAGGTTACTTAGAGATGAGGTAATAAGACACTTAATACTTAACAGATTTTTACAGGGAAGGAACAGTATTTCTTCTGCATAAGATCATATCCTGCTATGTTTCATTTTAAGAACTTAAAAAACAGCCAAAAGATGGATTCTTCAGAAAACAGATGTCTTAAGGGTTTTCCTTCTTATTATAGCTAACAGATTTTAACTTCTTTCAGACTGGGTCTTGAAATCTGTTTTATCTGAAGTAATTATTTCAAGGCAACCAACAAAGTTTTCAAAGAGGTCACATCTACTTCTGTTTCATTCTGAGGTTCCTTGCCTGAATCAAAACAACAAGATGGTGTTATATAAGTTGCTTTTCTGACAACTGTTTGGCTGCTGGCAAGCCTGTTCTGCCTGTGATATCCAGGCAGATATTCACAGTATTGCAAATATCAAATGAAGGTCATTTCACCAGTTCAGGAAAACAATGAGAATGATCCCTTTCAGTTTTTTTCCTCTACAAAGTGTTTGTAGAATTGATATGTGATTTTTGGTTGAAGTGAAGTGGGTTTGATTTGGTTTGATAATTCCTCCATATGTAAATTACCATCATATCTGCAATACAAACCCAATTTTTCAGATAAAGTTTATTACCTCTAAACTTCTCTGGTACCTGTGTCCATTAGATTTTTCTATTTTTTAAACTCAGAGTTCTTCAGCATTGCTGACTTTATTTAGCTCCAGGGTAGCAGGAACTAACGGAGTGGAGAACAGCTCAAGTGACAGCAGCCATCAGCAATAACTTCTGTGCTGTCAATAACGAGGAGCTTTTAAACTTTCAATTGATGAGGTTTCCATTACAGATGCCATGGAGCTGACCCTAGGGACCACATCCTGAGAGCAAATGACTCTCACTGGAGAGACAGCAGCAGACAGGGCTCAATCTCTGAGAGCACAAAGCTTCTGGTATAATTTGCTTTTCACCGTCAACACACGGGCACAGGAAGGTGAGACTCCAGATCAGGTAAGCATAAATTTGGTGACAGCTTAATGATGAACAGGAATGGCTCCCCACAGGTAGTGGTTAATTTAGCCAGAAGCTCCAGCTGTGAATTTGAGGATTGTGACAGCTTTAAGCTGAAGGCTGCCACCAGTTGAGCTGCTGTTGGCATTCAGTCAGGAGGGCAGGGAAGTCAAACATGCCTGCACATGGAATTTGTCACTGCACTTCTTGTGATGTCACTGGCTGAAGGGATAGTTAATTTTTTTTTCTTCTAGCTCCTGACAATCAGTATTCAGAGCAGAACTTAGATTATTTTTGCTACTTCAAAATTTTATCCAACACTGTCCAGTTACTAATGGTCTTCAATATAAGGAGAAATCACTTCAGCCAATTTACATTCTATTTTAAGAACCAGTCTTTCACTAAACAAATCAAACTAAACAAGAGAAAGCAATACACTGTCCCACTGTTTTGTCAGTCCACACTACCTTTTCACAGGCTCTGTCTGCACAAGTGCTGCATCTATCATGGCTTTCATCCACAACTCCATTTCCTTCCCTGTATCTGTGCAGAAATAATAGGTCCTCATGTTTGGATGAGCTGCCTGATTGGAAATGACATGGTCATTGCAATAAAAATGTAAGATTCTGTAAAAGAAGAGAGGCAAATATTGTTAGTGCATATTCACTCTAATGCTTTATCTAAGATTTCTTCAAATAATATGCTCAGAAAAAAAATCAAAAGGAACACTACAGTGTTTCTTGGTCACTGCATTCATATTTTCAAAATAACTGCCTGTGATTTTCAACCATAGCTGCTTCTTCATTAATACATTAAACAAAAAGCCCTTAAATTTCTTCAATCTACTGAAAATGCTATTGAACATTCATTAATGTAGACTAATATAATTCTTATAAATAAGATTTTAGCATAGATTTTGGCAGTCTGAATGATACAGTAAGTTTTAATTTGTACTTACCATAGTAAATAAATGATGTCTTGGTTAGGAGACCAAACAAAGTGCCAAAAGGAGCTCATAAAACAACAATAAAAAAAAGTCAGGACAAAATGCTTAGAAAAGTAATTTATATCATGATTTAAGATTGTCATGAAACACTCCTAAAGTGATTCACGTAATATTGTGATTGAAGCGGTAATAAATTCTTATTTTTATTTATGTGTAAAGATACCTTGTATTAAATAACGAATGAACTTTCATTAGTGGGATAAATTCAGCTGCAGATGCTGGTTTATAATTCTAAATTATAATTCACCACCCAGGATTTAAGACTCATGAACTACAAAAATAAAAATACTGCTAGTAAGCGATATCCATCCATTTCCCCATTCTAGTAATCCTGTCTATACTTATATCAGGCTAAGCACTTGAAACTTTTGCTACTCTATTATGTAAAAATCAGCCTCAGAGCTGTTTGTCAACCCTTTTTTGCATAACAACTCTGTAAAATGAGCTTTTGTGGCCAGGCTCTTGAGCTTTCAGACACCAAGTGGGGTGGAAAAGCCGCTTCCCTCACCTTGAAGGCGTATTTGCGGTTGATGTGGTCCTCAGCAGACAGCACAGATATCTGGAAACTAGGCAGAAGTATGCTCCCCAGGATTCCCTCTTCCTTCTCATCTGGGAATGCACACTGGGGTTAGAAAAGGGCCCCTGGACACACGACATTTACACTCTGACACTCCAGGAAACTCTTTCAGCCACGCGGGAGCACGACCAGCAAGTTTAGCTCAGAGGAGAATGAATTAATACCAGAAATCCAGACTAACTTTGGAAGTCAAGCCTCTAATTCAGTGACAAAGAACCAGAACAGCACACATCTACTGCCTGCTCAGTAAAAACAACTCAGAGAACACAAGTGGTTAAAAACACTGCTTATGACTGCTGGCATTTTAGAGAAAATGTGCACATTCTTCTGATCTCAGGCACATTATGCTACATAATCCCCATTATAGTATTTAATTATGAATTGTCATTATAATTCCCACAAAGAGTTTTTACACTCAATTACACTCCATTTGTAAGAATGCACATGTTTCAGATAATTTATAAAAAAAAGCTCTCCCCCAAAACAAATACCCTTTTTCCAGAGCCTTCTTTTACATAAAATTTTAGATCAACAGATCATAATAAAAAAATTGACATTTTAATTGAAAGCCACAACCAGTTTTTAAATCCAGTTATACTTTAATAAAGGAATAATTGGATGCAATTCATAAAGTCTGTTTTAATTGTATTTCATGAACAGAATTTCTATTCACAATCACTATCTTAGAGACTGTCCCCCATAACACTTCTATTAGTTGAAGATAGTGCCCACAATAAATCGATGAAATTAAGATGAAAACAGGCATTGCAAAATTTCAATGAAAAATTAAATTAAAATTAAAATACACATAAACAGCATGCCAGGATTATTGCTTATGTGTGGACTTAAAAACCTTTTCCAGGTTCTCATTTACTCCTAGATTTTGAAAAGCTAAACCTTCATTTAAGTTATTTCTATGGGGAAAGTTGTGTCCAGCCATGTTAGTATCACATGACAGATTAGATGTAAAATCTGTGCTTTTTGGGATAGTTGTTTAATTGCAGAGCTGAGCATAAATTCATTCCTATTATAAAGCAGAAAAGAAATGGAGTGGATTTACTTTCAGGAACTTAATATAATATATACCTTATAATACCTTTAAATATGACTGAAACCATCCCACCTTTCCTTCAAATATTAACTCCTTGCCAGCCACACACAAAAATGTGCCCTGTCCCCAAACACATAGTGGGTAAATATTGGGGTTTATTTTTATTTGGACTTGTGTCTGGGGGAAAAGTTCTCTTTTCCTAGATCATATTCTGACTCATGACTGAGTAAATCCCCCACCAGTGCCACATTCAGCATTTTTGTTCCACTGAACAGCTGCATGTCTGGAGGACTTTGGTCTTTGTAAAAGATGTACTGCCACATTCCAGTTCCAGATTTTAAAAATCTGTTCCCAATCACGTCTGCTTTTATCTACACATCCCACTGCCCCATATTATCTTTACTTGTGTGCTGTGTATGAGCAGTACACAAGAAAAGGAGCAGATCTTCTGTCCAGTCCTAAGAACTTTTATTTGTGCCAACAACAACCTTCCAATATGAAAGTGGATAGTCCTTCATGCCTCAGGGGAACAGAAAGAGAATATTCTCTAAGCTGTGAGAAAATAAATACTATGAAACAATTTTTCTTTTCATCTATAAATGGGATTTCAGCTTGCTAACATTGTAACACAATTCTGGAAGTTTAGGAAGATTTACTAACAAAACCAAAGAAACCCAACAGCCACCACTGCACAACCACAAACAGGTCTGTGGTTTGATCTGGGAGCAAGTGCATGACCCTCCCTTTCCTATTTTTTCATTACCTGAGAATTAACAGAAACATAAAAGGGTTTAGAGTAAAAGCTTTTTATATTTTACCAGCCATTTCTAATACATTTTGGACTATCACTGCACACATTTAATTCCAGTTTAACAGTTTTAACTACGTTCTATTGAGTGATAGATAAAAGCTACATTTATCACAAGAACAATTTAGATTATTCTGCTTGTATTTCAGAATGTTGGGCCATGTAGAAAATAAAAAGATTACAGAGCTATTTATATTTATTTGTTGTTGGTTTTGATTATTGTTTTTTTATTTTATTTTGACAAACTTCCTATGCAGTACTTAAATTCAGCTTAATCTGTTCTTAAGGCAGCTGTAATGTAACACTTTTTAAAAAACTTTTTGAAGGAGGAGCCTGAAGAGGTGTTTAAAATAAACCTGTAAAAAGCACAGAGTATGCAATGACCACTTAGGTAACCACAGTGTATCTGTATCAGCCAGTTGATGCCTCCACAACTGAAATTTCAGCCTGATTTTTGACTCAGCAGGGGTTTATCCAACTATGTACCACTTGGTGTAGAAAAACAAAGCCTAATGATCACATTTGAATCATTCAGAATTTGTTAACTGAACAGTTGCAAACAGAGCTTTTGTTCAGACCTGATTTGTCTTTGATTGGATCCGTGCTGCACTTTCAGAGAACACCATTTAAACTGATCACTCTCTGCTTTCAGCATCAGCACCAGTCCTACCAATTCCAAAGTTTCATCCCAAACTGAAACCCTTTGTCACTCTTCACCCACAGTTAAGGCTGCAGGTGGCCCTGTTTACGTTCCTCTATTTTGCCATGCTCTACAAATCCTCCTCACTCTCAGCCTCCCTTAAACTAAAATCACACTTGATTTCGGGACTGTCCATGTTCCCCTGTGCCCAAGTCCCATTTGTTTTTGGAGGAGCACTCCAGTTCATAATCTACAGTGCTGAAGGGATCACTAACCCACCTAACTCCAGACTAGAATGAGAAGCAGGTATTTTTTTCCATGTAAAAGCAGTCTGATCTAGCTACATGAGGTTACTAACAGGTTCTTTTGTTCCAAATACAGCAGAGACTTCTACTCATATGGAAATGGACAATGTTCAATTTTATAAGTATTCATGAACACTGATTAGAGTTCCCAAAGGCATGTATATCCTCTTTATCATTCTAAAGGCAGGGTTTCAGCTCCCCTGCACTACATCCCTTCCCTATCCCCATTTCAGCTACTTAACTCACATAAAAATCAGATTTAACCTGACATATTTAGTTTCTAGCAACAGCAGCTGTAAGAAAAACTACAACCCAGAATTTAGTAACAGAGGTGGCTGTGAATGGGCTTGCCCTTTGAGCACAGCCTGGCAGGCAGGAAGCAATTATGTGGAACTGGTAATTAAGAGAGAAAGGAAAAAAAAAATATAAGAGTAGCAGGCCTGGATATTGACAGCTATAAAATTATTTTAATCCATTAAGTTAAGCAGCAGCTTATTTCTAACATTTGACTGGTGTGCCAAAATTTATCTGCTACCAGCAAAATCAGCAAAGGAGCTGCTCTTACCTCTGTAGTAGAAGAGACACAGATCTGAGAGCACAAACCAGCGCTTCTTCCACAGCTTCATTCCAGTGCTGTCCTGCAGGAATCACAGGGGTCAAGTCAGAAAACACACACTGGAGACAGCTCTGGCTCCCAGCACAAACCAGGCACTGCACAGCTGCTGGAACCCTGCTTACTGAGAATTTGAGACTGTCTGTGCTGACAGGCACTGACCCCCAGGAGAATGCTGCATTGACCTGAGGCTGTGGAGAAGCTTCCAAAATGGAATGATAGCACTGGGATTGTGGGTGTGGAGTTTGGATAGAAGTGTGCAAGATCACATGGCAGAAAACTTAGAGCTTAAGGTTTTAGAATATAGTGAAATATATATATAAAGAAAGATGGAGGTTTTAGGATGGAGGCGGGTCCTTTTTGTTCACCTTCTTCTCCATGGGTTTGGGTGGTTTTGTGTAATTGGATAAAAAAGTCCCCATTGCAGGGCACGAGTGGTTTAGTTAAAAGTGAAAATAATTTAAGTGTAGCTTAACTGGACAGTTTATCCTTAAAAGGCCTTGTAGAGAGAGAGAGACACAGCTCCATTTTTAGTTTGTTAGAGTGAAGTGCTGTATAACTCAGGGTTTGTGAGACTGTGACATAGATAAGAACTAATAAACATCTGAGTCCCAACATGAAATTGTGTCTTGCGATTTAATCCCAACCCTGGCAAAAAGAAGACAGAAACTCGACACACAACTGTGCTGTGCGTGCTACCAGCTCAATTTCTTGGCTGTTTTAAGTATCTGACTTCTCATCCTGAGCTGTCACTGCAAACAAAGGCGGTGACCCAGGAATCCTGAGGTGAACAGGGAGTCATGGAGTTGCTGGGGTTGGAAAAGGCCGTTTAGCTCATGGAGTCCAGCTGGTACCCAGCACTGCCAAGTCCACCACTAAACCATGTCCCCAAGTGCCACATTAACACATGTAATTACACCTTCAAGGTTGGGGACCCAACCACTTCCCTGGGCAGTCAGTTCCAATGCTTGACAACCCTTCTGGTGAAGAATTTTTTCCCAATATCCAACCTAAAACTTGAGGTTATTTCCTTTTGTCTTGTCACTTGTCACCTGGGAGAAGAGACCAGCCTCCACCTCACTACAATCTCCTCTTAGGAAGCTGTACAGAGGAGGGAGGGCCTCTCTGAGCCTCCTTTTCTCCAGGCAAGCTAGAGATTACATACACACATTTGTCTCAGCTGAGTTTAAATCATGAGTTCTCAAGGGTTCTTGGTGGATTTTAAAAACAGAATTGTAATATTAACCAGAACAGCAGATTTACAGCAGGCTAGAACACTGTCCCAATATTAAAGAGCACATACTTCAGATTAATTCAAACTGCACGGGAAAACCTAAAATAATCTCTGGTTTTAACATGATTATCTTTGAATAAAGCAAATAGACATACCTATGTGAAATATATGAAGAAATGGCTTCACTTACTGTTTTTTATTGAAAATATTACTTGCAGAAAAAAGAAAAAGATACATAGTCTTAAAAAGAAACTTAAAAATTCCCAATATTCTGGGTCATACACCTTTTGTCCCATCATCTCTACATACCGGAAATTAAATCAGCTATTTATTACTAACATCTGCTCAGATTTTTTAGAGAGAATCATATATATATATGTATATAATCTATCAATATTCTTTACTTGTCTGATGTCCTTATTCGTATCAGGCTGATATCCAGCAAGGAGCTAATGAATTGAAGAACACAGTTTACAGCTTCATTCTGCTATTGCTGTCATTGTATTTTATAGAAGTGGTTGTCTTTTGTACCACACAGTAGAGGAAAAAAAAAAGAAGGGGGTGAGGAGGGTCTGAGTACCTGTTTGTAGAGCCAGCCTCGTCTGACAACTGGTGCATTAGGATTTCTCTTTATGGAGTTCGATCTCTTCCCAAAATTATGAACCTTCTTTGAAGATCGTGATGTCTAAATTGAATTGAACACGTTATAGAAAGCATGACATCAATAACTGTACAAAAATCAAAATGCTTTTCTTTTCTCTAAGATCTTTTTCTGCTCCTCTGGGGGACTGCAGAACACAAACTCTATTCTTTTTTTAGATAAATAATTACTACAGTGGTTTTGCTGGTTTCAGCATTTCTTTCTTTTCTTCTGCAGAGAATATAAAGATAAATCCCAAGACAAGTACTAAAAAATGTTTTGGGGTTTTTTTACACAAGAAAAAACCCAACCAAATACATATCTGACCTTCTTCTAAGGTAGGCAGAATGCCTACTGAGCTGTAGGAAGAGAAGTAAACTCACAGAACTATTATTAATTATGAAAAACTACATCACCTGGGCAAGAAATCCCACTCTTTCCTGCTTCCAACACTGACCTAACACATGAAACCTTGTTCAGATTCCAGCAAGATATAATTCCCCCTTTCCTAAAATAAACTAACATTTTAGTATTCCTTCTTTGTTCTGTGATCTCTTGGTTGGTTTGAATATTATTTTACTTGCTTGCACTAAAGTCTACTTAGAAGCTTTTCCATGGAACTCCAGAGCTCATATCAGCTGTTGCTTATACTTTTTACAATTTTGCAATGATCACCTATGATTAAGAGAAGTAAGAAAAATAAAGCATTTTAGATTTCATCCTTCTACTTGAATAACCAGAAGAAATTGGAAAAGGCACAAAGAAACCTGCAGTGCTTTGCCAATTCACACTTCATTCTTCTCAGCCTACATTTAGAAAGTTTGCTCTGCAACTAAGGGAGCTGAACATTTATTTGTGTTTTAAATCCTGTAAGAATTGGTGCCTCAGACACCATGAGATACAGCAAAGCACGCTCCTGTGCAGAAGAAATCAAGTTCAAGTAAATTTTTAAAGCTGCATTTCAAATCCACCCTTTGGATTGAGACAATATGATAATCCTGTGTTTCAGCTTCCATATCACTGCTACTGGGACTAATCATGAGGTGATGCAAAATTCCTAAAGGAGGAAAGCTTGACAACCACTCGGGTTTTGTTGCAAATGAGGTGTGGGGTTTCTCTATGGAAGTTCTCTCACCACTCATCACAGAACTAAGCTGGGTTTTACTCATGCTTCAGAGAGAATCCCACAGTAGCTGAAAAATCATAAACTGAGAACTTGATTTAAAATTATGAGCAGCTTTTGTCAATGATGCCATTAACTGAAAAACACAACACTGCTTGGCAAAAGAAAAATAACATTACAAAAGCTATGTGTGCCTGTCTAGAGTCTACAACACAAAATACATTTTATACTTCTTTTCTGCAAGAATCATAAGGGAATACAAAAACAATCAGAGTGCTTTTAATTTCCCTTGGAGATACAGAAATTTGACTCAGTTCTGAAAAGCAAGCAATTGAAAACCTAATTAAGAAAGTAAAAGTAAAAAAAAATCCACATTTTCTCCTGAAAAATTCTATCAGTGCAAAATGGACAAAGATTTCTAAGAAGCCAAGAGAGTTATGACAGCCAGCTGTGAAAAAGGAATACATAACAAAGCACGTACAAAAATGCAGTTATAAAGTGAACTGCAGCTCTCTCTGTTAACCTGTATGACTGCTGTACTGGCATATCACACAGAAGCTGTGCTAACACTTTGATCAGAAATAATTTCTAACACTCACACCTACTCTAGTATTAGCTACTAAAGGTCCAAAACCCCTCAAGAGTGCTCCAGAATCCCTACATTTGTAAAAATAGCTAATGCATTGAGGATGCTTCTGAAGACAACCAAGCACTTATGTCAAGTCTAACAAATTGAGATTATTTAGACAGCTGTCTCTAAGGTAGGCCTGATAAAAACCCATATTGGCTCCAATTCCACTGAGCCAACAGCAGAGTTTTAATGGGATGCACCCTACCAATGTGAATACAAACTTCCTTCAATTAAATGCAGCATCACAAGTGCTTTCTAATTTTAGTTAATACAGAGAACACTTTAGATGACTTGTAATTTGCAAAGAGTTTGCCACACGCTGCATAAAGGGAATAACTTCACAACAAACCCTGAACCTTAAGACAATGAGTATTTTGGGGCACTGAAACACTGTAGGTGAGTATATAAACTAATTATGAGTTCTCAGATTTTAGATCACCTCCTCCTTTGTTATGGGATCCCTGGCCATCCCTGGTCTCTCATTCATAATTATCTCAAACTGTGACAGGGAAAATAAAAATAAAGAACGGAAGGGTTCAAGTACTTTTTACCCCACAGCATAAAAAAAAAAAAAAATTAAAATAATACAGGGCATATAGCCCAGCTCCAGCTTCTGGAGAAGGCAAAGAGAAAGAGAGGATAGTGAAGGAATGATCCAAGCACTCATCACTTGCTGGAAGGTGCAGAAGGTAACAGAGGAAGCAGAGTCACCCCTGGTACCATCTGATCCATCCTAAGGCACAGCAACTCCAAAATCAGATCCAGTGGGAAGAGCCCTGCACAAACCCAGTGCTGAGAGAGAAGCCAGGATGTCCAGCCAGTGAGTTCACTGTTTTCCAAAACTGAGAGAACAAACAGCCAGCAGGGTTTTGAACTCTGGACAACAGACCACTCAGCATCTGGGGCTGCACATTTCAGACCCTGCAAGTGGCTTTTCTCTCTGCTTAGCTGGGAGAAAAACACAGGGTTTCTGTGAGGCTTCTTTCCTAGTTTCAGAACTAGAACAAAAGTCATTAATTAACATTAAATTTGTTGCATGCAAATTTGAAAAAGATAGGTTGAGAGCCTTGCTAATAAGGAAATTTTCTGCATGTAAACTCAGAGAGTACAAATCTGTGTCTCTGCTACTTTCAACTTCTGTTTAAAAATATGTTTCCAGTGTTCAAGGCTTACATTATCTTCCAAACCACAAACCAACAGGATGCTGCTTTCTGCATTTTGTAGGCAATTTTGGTGCCTTCCAGTGCTGCAGTTTTCCATGAGCTGAGTGGGTTTCTGCCTCAGCATTTCAGCTTGGACCAGAAGGCTGCTCTTGAAGCAAACCTCCCCATCATTCACTCTTAGTGTGCTTTGGTTTGCACAATAAAGCAAACTGGATTCCATTTAGGCAGAACTTAAAATATAAGATGCACAAGGAGCACTACTGGGCTGGTCTGAATATAAATCATAAAACACAGTGCAGACATCCAGCTCTGAGCACCAGGAATGCCCTTCACACCCCTCCTTTTCACTGTGCTGTTTGCTAATAAATTTTAATAATAATAATAATGAATAATAATAATAATTTCAATTTCTGTTAATCAGAAATTTCCAGCTAACCTGGATCCTGAGCAGACCTGAATGGCTACACCTACACCAACAATTCAAGCCTGGACTGCACTGAAATATGCATTAACAAACTGATTAATATTTGTGAGCACTGGGAAACATCCCAGCTGTCCTGGAGTCACCAGGAGCTGTCCTGGGCTAACACTCCACACCACTTTCTGTGAGAAAAATGTGTTCACTTTATTCTGCTGACAATCAGGACAGCAATGAAGAGCAGCACATCTGCACCATGGAGGGTGACTGGAAATGTGACTGACTTTACACATTAAAAAGCAATTTATGACACATAATCCTGTTTGTCTAGGTAGTGATTTTAACAGCAGGGAGAAAAATAAGATTTAAAAAAAAGACAACTACAAAAACAATTTCTTCATGGCACAGAGAGATGAAAATAAATACTTGTGTAGCAATCTGAAGCCTGTGGGTTTTCACAGCCAGGGGTCTGTGCTAGTGCCTTCATGTCTGGAAATACACTTCAAGCTGCAGGAAATAAGCAGCACTTAACAGAGCTGTAATTTGTTATTTGGCTCCCCTCATGTATACAGGGGAAAAGGAAGATTAGAATTAACAGTTTTACTGGGCAGGAACTGATTTCTGCCTCACCTCATACTGGCCTCTGGTCAGCAACAGCAACAGACTCCAGAGAGTCTTTCTGACACAAAACAAAACTTCTCCAAGTTCCATATCTATCAATCAACATTAATGGAAGGAAGAATTTTCTCCTGTACCCCTTAACTGTCTGAAACTTCAGCTGTACACCAATTTTTTTTCCATTCCTCATTACATCCCAGTATCAGGTGTGGTCATGAGTTATCTCTGAAAACAAAAACCACCTAAAAAAATTGGTTTGGCAACCACACAAAGCATCCTTCTCCTCTGTAATTACTTCTCTATAACTTCCCTCACCAATATTTGATTCCTGTTTTGTTGTGCTGCAATACACAATACTACTATTATAGTAATGTAAGACTGCATATATATGTATTATTATTAAAATTATATATAAATATATATATTTATATATGATTTTATATATCATGCACAATAATTTAACTTTTGACTATAATATATAGTCTGTAGTTTGCATATATATAATTCTATATATAATGTACTATATATTATATACATAAATTATATATAAATTTTTAGATATATTACATTATATATAATGTAATATATAATTATATATAACTTTTAATGTAGAATATATATATATATTACATTTTATATATATATATACACACTATATATACAACACTACAAACTACATATTATAGTCAAAAGTTAAGAATTTCAGGCTTTATTGTTTGAAAACATGAAGAAAAAAAATAAAAGAAAATCAGTTCTGTATCCAGGTAAAACCCATGGGCCATATCTACAGTCATCTTTAAAAAGGATTCAACTCATTATCCCTGAATAGCTGCCAGAAAAGGCAGATTGATATTAGCTGTGGCTCTCCTTTCCCAGCATTCACCTCCCCAAAACCAACACTTTTTAAATGGTGTTGCACTAATTCAGACAAATGCACATCTGAAAACTGATGCACAGTAATTACACATGCAGCCACAATAATCATATTCATATTTTAAGTGCATTTAAATAACTAGAACAGGAGGAATGAAAAGTAGAGCAACAGTCTATTTTTTTCAAAATGTTATTTTCACAGGAAACTAAAGTGTCATTAATCAATGAAAGTAAAAGAAATCACAGTAACTGAGCCATAGAAATCTTAATTTCCTTCTCAAAGATTATGAAACAAACACTAGGCTAAAGGGCATTTTCAACTTCTCTTTTGAAAGAGAATTGAGAAAAATGTAAGACACGTGCACCTAAATTGTAATTAATTTTGCATATTTGACCTGAGATTGCTTCCCAGAAAATGAATTTTGAGAGAACTAGCTATGTAATTATTGCATTCTACATCACTGTTGTGACTCTAACAAGAAATTACCTGGGGTTTTTTGCTTGCTTGGTTGTTTTAGGGCTTAGCTGGTTTTGTTTTTTACTGTTATTGTTTGGGGGTTTTCCACTTTGTTGTATTTTAAACTGGCTTTCCTGCATGGACTTAAACATGATCATGTGAAAGTTGAGATGGATTTTGTTGCTGTTCATAATACATCTGTGACTCTCTATTTTTCCCCCCAGCAACATTTATAGATTAAGACACTTTGCTCGTTAAATAACAGTTTTCTAACGTAGGTCAAGGATTCTGCCTGTCTCATGAGATATTTAAAACAACAAAAAGTTTCCAAAATGCACTTGAAGGAACCTTGCAATGGTTCTTACCACATGGTAAGTCAATTATTTCAATCCAAGTTTCTGACATTAAGGAATTTGCTCAGTTAGAACACATTCCCAAGTTTATTTTTCCCTTATAGGTTGGATGAATTTTCTGAAAAAGCACTTCTCAGGGTTCACATTTTCAATGACTAGCTAAAGCATAGGGTTTTCCCCCTTGTTTAACTGTTATCTACTGGCTAGAAGAGATGACAGCTCTTGTCTGTCATCACTGATCAAAACTCTTTTCTTGGTCTCCTAAAAAACTTGAGGCACTTCTTAATTTTGCAGCAAGTGCACTTCTCTCTCAGGAAAGGTGAAAATTATAAAAAAAAAAGCACAAAATAGGCTCATCAGCTTTATCCAATAAACCTGAAAGTTGGTAAGAACATTTACCTTAACCTCCTGAGAAATTGGGTGAATGGAGAAGTAAAATATAAATTAAGGTGACCCTAGGATTCTCCCAAACATTTAAGCAGGAATTTTTCTAGGAAGCCAGGACTTCTGCTTCTGGCCCAATGTCACCTGCTGTTTAGCACAGGGTCACCTCCCACCTCTCTCACAATTCCTTCTTGCACACAATCCCAGCCCTCTCTGTTTTACCTGGACACATCCAGGCAATTGTCTGTGATGGAGCAATTTCTGCAACAGTGCTGGCCCAGGTGCCTCATCAGTCACTCAGGGTTTTGCTGTTCACACAGATCAGAAAGGTCAGTTTAAGTTATAAGATCTGAGATACCTGATAAAAATTACAACTACAGTGACAATTTGCTTGAGACACCTCAGTTTCCAAATTAAACCTGAAAAATATGTAAGCTTTGTTTCTCTTTTTCAGTGGAACACTAACACACAGCACTACCTAGCACCTCGTGGAATAACTGAATTATTTTAGTTCTAATTTATTTGGACATAAAGACTTACTCTGCCCACAGGGCTCATTGGATGAGCAGCATAATCTGATGCCAGATTATAGTTAGTTGCTTCACATATCATGCTTACTGGTCGCTCCTTCTTTTCTTCAGATGACATTGCTGCAGCAGTCCTGAAAATAGAATATGTAATAGCACTAGAACATGCTGTGTGTGCAGACTGCTAATAAAAAGCACCCCGAGATGTAGCTTTGTACAGCCTGTGTCCTACTTTTCCAATTTGAAAGCAATTCACACTTCATTGCAGAGTTACCTGCGCTGTGTTTTAAGCTCCAACCTATTACAGATGAATTTTAGGATCTTGCTTAAAACTAGAATTTCTCTCTTAGCGCCAGGTGTTGGTGGGAGGGAAAAAGACAGGTATGAGTGTGAGATGGAAATGGGAAGAAATGCTCTCAAAGGCCCCCTCTGGCTTTGCCCCCCTTTCACACTGGTGGAATTTGGCCAGTTCTGATGATTTTCACTGGAGCCACCATGTAATGTGTTACAGCAGTGGTGGTGGGGGGGACACCCAGAACCCAGACACCAACAAAATCCTGAGGTCAGGCATGAGCTCCATGCAGACCTTCTTGTATTGCTCTACAACTGCAAAGACAGCAAATCCCAGCTATTATCCAATGATTCAGAAAGTGCCCCAACTTGCCAAGGAAATAATCAGTTGAGGAGAAGCTATCAGGCAAAATGTTATGATTCTCCCTAAGTGATTATAAAATTTTCCCCTTTCTGAAAGTTTATTTGATTGGAAATCCTGAGGTCAGGCATGAGCTCCATGCAGACCTTCTTGTATTGCTCTACAACTGCAAAGACAGCAAATCCCAGCTATTATCCAATGATTCAGAAAGTGCCCCAACTTGCCAAGGAAATAATCAGTTGAGGAGAAGCTACCAGGCAAAACATTATATATTAACAACTAGTGGTTGTCTGTAAGTGATTATAAAATTTATCCCTTTCTGAAAGTTTATTTGATTGTTATATAATATCTAGGCTGTTTACTAAAATTACAGAGTAATTAAAGTGACAACAGGAAATTCATACAGTGCATAAATGTGATGCATTTCTATCATACAACTACGGGTTCTATCTTAAAAATGAGTATAAAATATTTACCATTACTTTCATGTGATTTAAACAAATGAAACTATCTACATGTTGATCTGACTTGGAAAAATAAGTATTGCCACTAGTAATCACTGAATCTTACTTCATTATTTATGGGCTTTAAAACCTGTGTTTTACAGAGTGAAACAGAAGGCACTTACTGCTCATTCACAACAAAAATACAGTTGTCCTGTGATGGCTGTCCTGTCACTGGATGTTTGCAAGTTACTTTTCGTTCATTATGACTGCGAAAGAGAGAGAAAGACAAGTATTAGGCAATGAGTTTTGATTTTCTAGCTCAATTATGTAAATCCAGTACATCAAATGTATCAGTTCAGTGAAAACATTTAAGAATATTTCATTATGGCATATAACAACATAAGTGTACACACTCACAAATGCATATATATATATATATATACACATACAAAGAAAAAGGATGAGAACTAGTACTGAAGAATCTTCATTGGCACTGCCAAACGCTGGCACTGGGTTGGCAACCATTCTGAATTTTAAAAACAGTAAAAGTGTTTTTAGTTCATGTATCAACATAGATAATTCACTTCAACTATGACTTTATGTATTCATTAATAGGGTTGTAGCTGGACAGGGATAAGTTGAACATGGGTTATGTAACTGCTCTGTAAGGACAAAACACTACTCCAAAAGCAACTGTCTCCATCCTCAGGACATGAAGACACATAAAATTTCCAATATTGCAGATAAATACCCAGTGACTGGAGTAAGAGTGAGGGGTTGCAATCACAGTTCTACTTTTGCAGGTGACTTTTTAATTCAGGGTGCTGCCCAAAAGTGTCTTCTAGAGGCTGGGAGGCTGAGCTTCATCCCCAGCAGCACAAAAATGCTCCCTTTGCATTATCTCATTCCCCTGAAGTGCAGATGCTGATAGATCACAGCAGCTCCCACAGCTTGGAAGAAACTGCCCAAATTCAACAACTATCAGCTGCTGCCACACAGGAAAGAAATGTCTGGGCTGAACTTTCAAAACTGTGAAGCACAGCTCATCTCACAGATATGCTTTGCACCCTTCCTGCTTTGTAAAAACAACCTGAATTCAACAAGGCTATCTAAATATTCTCCACTTTGAAACTAAAATTCTTTGGATCATAACAATTTGCAATTTTAAAAAGTGCCTCCAAACAAAAGCCTAATAAAAAAAAATCCACATTACTTTCATGGTGAACAAATGGATAAGCCTTCATAAACCTAGAGTGCAAGATTAGAAAGACAGCCCAATTCTTTGCACTTCCTCTACTGGGATTTTAGAAACCTACTAATGCCTAAAATAGAGAGACTGTGTTACAGCTTAATGATGATCTGGCAATTGCCAGCACTTTATCTTTGCTCTAAGTTCAGCAGATTTCTAAGTTTAGCCCCTGAAGGAGCTGCTGTTGCAGAAATGTATCAATTACAACCAGGAGACAGGAAAGAGACACTCTGAGGACAGTCTGTGCCATTCCCAATTGCCCTGGTCATACAATGCCTCTCAAGGAAATCAGCCCAGATTAAAGAGAATTCGGGTTCAAAACATTCCTGAGGAAGCATCCAGGTTTCTTTGGCTGAGTTTCTTTTTTTTTCCTTTGTGAGCCCTCTTTTTCTTCCCTTCCAAAGCATTTTTTTCCCTTTTGACATTTCAGAAACTCACACCAAAGTGAAAAAAAAAACCCCAACAAACTATGGAAATGAGCTGGCCAAAACGCTTTGCACAAATGTTGCCTTCTTATTCACATTAAACCTTGACAGGTGACTGTCAGCTGCATCCATAAATGTGGAAATAAGTGGATCAGGACTTCTGCTCAAGGACCAGAAACACTCAGGTCCACCCAAGGGGAGGCACATCCTGTGTTTTGAGTGAGTGCACCTCACTGATGACACAGAAGAGCCACACCCAAGGACTGCAGAGGGGAAACCACACAAAACCACAGAGGGAAAGAAGGGAGAGAACAGAAAAGTGGGAGAGGAGAGCAGTGGAAGCAATACCCAAGAATATTTTGCTTCAGGTTTGAGTCATACATCAAGTTAGCATTCCAAAAGCACCCAAAAATCCTCGAACAAAACACAGTTTTCCTCACTAGTCACACAGATGTTGAGATGTATAGGAGGTAGTTGAGATTACATAAAAAAAGCCAGAAAACATATCACAGACACGAACCATGCTCCTGAGGATTGTACAGCACTTTCCTTCTAGACCTGAATAGTCACTTCCTTCTAAAAGGGTAAAGCAAAGGGAAAACAGGCTTTTTTCCCCTTCAAGGCAAAGGAAAAACAGGCTTTTTTACCTTTCAAGGCAAAGGGAAAACAGGCTTTTTTCCCCTTCAAGGCAAAGGAAAAACAAGCTTTTCTATCCCTTCAGCTTAGACACAAGTGAAATCTCATGGGTGAACACTGGAAATCCAGCTTGTGCAACTAAGAGTGATGACTGTAAATATGTCTAACTGGATGAACAGATTTTAAATACTTCCATTTGAAAACTTTTTCATTACTCATCTCATTATTGCTTTTTTGGCAGTAATTTACCTGGTATTTTGACAAGGCTCCTCAAAATACTTGTGCAAGGTGTAGTGAAGCTTTATAATTATTGTCATAACCCTCCCACATAACAGCAGGTTAAGGCATTTGTTTCAAACTCTGTCTTGCAGAGCACAGAGAGTTTTATTCAAACCAAGCTGCAGTTTGATATTCACAATCTTCAACATCCAATTTAGACAGCCGTTCAGTTATCCATAAACTTCTGGCTACATACTTAAAATTTCATTTATTATACTACAATAATCTATACCATCAATGCCATCAATATCATTAATAAATCTCAGGGGAAAAAAAGCAAAAACCTAATTTTTTTTACTGAGAACTCTAATTTCAATTTTATACCAAGTCCAATGTGTAACTCAGAGTTTCAACCCTGCATATTTATGTGTCTGTACTTTATTATGTGAAAAGAGAGAGATTCAGCCAGCTAGAAGCCAGTGTTACTTTTCAGTTATTCAGAGGTACATCCTCTTCCTTCTCCTTCCAGTTTTCCCATGTTTTGAGAACACAGGACAACCACACACAAAGTCTTTTGCACTTTTTGTGAAGGCCTCAACTGACCCTTACAATTTTAGGATCTGTATTAATGGCATGCTAAGCACTAGAGACAATGACAGGAAAAAAATTCCCTGTGTATTTCATTACTATTCATGAGCATATTCTCCAGACTTGGTATGTGGCACAAACTATTCCTCACTGATATTTGCTACTGGAATGTGCTGGGCCCCAGAAATCTACATTATGATGACATGAGAGGAGCAATTAAATGCAAAATAAAGCATAATTCTTGCATGTATCAAGATAATATTCTATGCTTGATTCCAGCAATGGTTTTGTACCTGCCATAAAAGAATCAAAACCAAACTAAACCAAACCAACCACAAATGTGAAAACACCTAACCCTAACCACACCAAAATAGCCTCACATGGGTAAAGTTCCATTTTTAGATATCTCAGTGCAAAACTGGTACCAACCTAACAGCACCAACTTAACTTGACCCCTTTTCTCCAGAATTTTCAAAGTTCTCCTTTCCAATCCCTTCCTCTGAAAGCTGCAAGCTTTGGCATCATTTATAAGGTAGCTTAGCTCTGGCACATGGACAAGCCCCCAGAGCAAAAGAATTTATCCTGTTCAGGTTAGAAATGACAGCAACCTTGAATGTGACTCACGTTATTTGCCTTCTTATCTACTCTCTTTCTCCTTTCCATCCCTTGAGACCCTTAATCTCTTTAGAAGACAGGATTATTTTACTTATTTTCTAGACACGTTAAAAAAAAACTTTGTTGTGTAATTTTAATCTACTCACTAAATGTACAGTCAACAGCAATCTTTTTGTTGGTTTAATGTGAACCAAGGACTACTGGAAAAAAAAAAAAGCCCTCAAATATATAATTCAGAGATATTATTCTGTTTGTAAGCAGCAACTAAGCACATCATTCCAGGTGCAGAGCTTGCCAACAGAAGTCCTACACAAGCAGGTTTCTTTGTTTTCTATCTTGTGTTTTCAGGACTGCTGACCCAAAATGCTGTGTACCAATGTTTTCCTTTAACACACGAAAGTCAGCCAAATCAAAACTCAGATCAGTTTTGCTATTTTGAAGTCGCTATCATCTTTGTCAGTATATTGCAAATGAAATTAACTCAGATAACTGCAGTTGGAGTGGAAAAAGGAGATATGTAATCCAGTTGTACAGTTAAAATGAAGGGTTAGACCATTTTCCCTCTGGAACAAAGCAGCTCGCTCAGAAGTGGCAACAAAGATCAAAGTACCAGGGTGGAAACAGTTGGTTTGGGGTCTCTCCATTGAATGATTTGGTTGAACTCCCTGTCCTCTTAAAAAAAAAAAAAAGAGCTGGGCCAGAACTCCCAAACACACATCTGGTTTTCTCCCACTCAAATTAAAGCTAGATGCCACTTCAAAGCTTCTCTCATGCCCTTTCTTTGTAGCCTTTATTTATGTGTTCCTCAGAGCTAAGGCCTCCTCATTTGCTTCTTGTCAATGTGGCCATCAAAGCAAAGGCTGAACACAAACAAAATCACAAACCAGGACACAACTTTTAAGAGGCCTCCACATCTTTAATTTAGAAACACTGTTCCTTTAGACAAATGAGCACTGGAGAACACATTTCAGAACAATGCTACACCAAATCTGCTTCCTAACATTTATTCTAGGTCTTAAGATTCACAGACTGGCAATCTAATCTCTATTATGGATACACACAATCCCCACAAATATGCTGAGATATTTCTTACGAGAAGCAGTTTTATGCATTTTTCATGACAAAATACTTGAAAAGATGAGAAGTAAGGTAAGAAGACCAAGATTATCAGAGCAATAAAGTTATTCTCTCTGCATTAATGCTGAATTTCTGCACTGATATTTAAAGGTAAGGTTCAACTGGGAACAAATATAAGACAGTCTAGGGCAGATTTGTTTGGCTTCTATGAATGAAAACCTTCAATTCCTCACCTGGGCTGGGGGTTGAATCAAATCAGCCATTTCTACCTTGTGTGCTTGCTTAGCAGCACAAGAATGTATAATTTCTAATAGCAATAAATGCAGTTATTGTTACCTAACCAAGAGTTGTCTGAACTTGGAAAAAATTTAAGTAAATGCAGTCCCTACACAACAGCAAGCAAGGATGTGGTCTGTGGCTATGCTGCCACTTGTATTTTACTGAATCTGTAATGCCA